TCCACCTGTCTGTTGGTTACAGTTTAGGATTTTGTTAGATGTTTATCTCAGGGCTTAAAAAGATTATTGCAACTCAGTAAAAAGACTAGCACAAATGCTTAAAGAAAAAGAGCAGAGACAAATGAGGAAATTTGAGACAAAATGGATCAAGTCATCTCTCATCTCTAAATGCTGCTACATAAGACAACACAAGTGCAGCCTCTCAAATTTTAGTTAATCAAACCTGAGCCAGCATCTCATCATCAGGCACTGTTTACACAAACGTACATGTTTCTGGGAAACATTGAAAAACTCTCTGATTTAAAATTTGGTTTCTATTAATCAAGCTTCATATAATCATGAGGACCTATATCAGGCTTGCTCCATGAGAGGTAAAACTTCATAATTAATAGGTCATAATTTGCTGGTATTTTTTTTATTTCGCATGGCTCCTATCCTGACCACATTTAAAACACAACCTCCCTCATGATGTCACTGTTTTGTCAGTTTTGATAATTCTGGGAACAAAGATTATTTTGTAGGTCTGACCATGCTGCTCCACTTACGTTGATTTAGATGGCGTTAAGATCCTACCTCATTAATGTTGATGATTCAAATGATCTTCCAGAGACCCCTCATTTAAAATCACCATTGTCTCAGCTGTGTCAACAACTTGACCATTGTTATTCTGAATGTGTCACTGTCCACAACAGTTCGATGAATATCAGAACATTCAGGGCTGGATGCTGCCTTGGGCCTTGAATGCCCCGGTATCTCTCTAAGTCACCAACAATAACAGAGACTACGTCAGCAAAATGTTAAAAGGCTAAAGCAAAACTTCACAATATCTGCTTTCATACTGTGTGTGTGTGTGTGTGTGTGTGTGTGTGTGTGTGTGTGTGTGTGTGTGTGTGTGTGTGTGTGTGTGTGTGTGTGTGTGTGTGTGTGTGTGTGTGTGTGTGTGTGTGTGTGTACAGGGGTAGTCCTGGACCATTTGGCGCCCTAGGCGAGCTCAGGCAGTGGCGCTTTACTGAGGTGCCGCTTAAGTAACTGTGGAAACTTCTTCCATCATCTCAGAGGAAAATGAAATCAGGTGTTACCTAGGGTTGTCACGGTGTGAAAATGTAACCTCACGGTTATTGTGACCAAAATTACCACGGTTTTCGGTATTATCGTGGTATTTTTTTTAAACGTGCTACATTTTCACACAATTAAATAAACCCTGTATGTCAGGAAATATTGTCCTCAGTTTGTGTCTAAATTTTGCCTAAAATGTGTTATTTTGTGATTATGTTCTTTATTTGTTTACATTTTTTCCCTGTAGTCTTTAAAATAGCAATATTTGCCAATAATTTCTTAATGTTTGTCTGTTTGATGTCATCATTTTAAAAATATTAGACCAGATGATACTCAGTACTCAAGTAGCCTTCTAATCAGATACTTTTTTTACTCTTACTTGAGTAATAAACCCTATATCAGGAAAATATTGTCCTCGGTTTGTGTCCTTCCAGTGAGCTTTGCAGATGTGGGAAAATGTCATCAGGCAGTAATCATTGTTAAATTCATAATTATTCTCGGAGAGAGACCAACTCTTATCTGCCCCTGGGAGCCCCGTAATGCATAGCGTCATTTCAACATGGCGGTGTCCGCGACACGGTTTATATGCAGGTAGCGGCGCTGCAGCTGCTTTATATAGCGACTCGTTGCATTCTCCCTCAACCCAAATCCTCGGATCACGCATTTTAGCTAAAACGCTAACGTTAGCTTGCCTTGCGTTGACTGTAGAGTTGTGGGTGATGGTCACGCAGATGTGTCATGAGATTTGAAGCGTTGCTGCCTTTCACAGACACTTTTTCTGCACGTGCTGCAAACAGGATAGCCGTCTTCTATCAACTGTCCCTCGGCATTCTTCACATATCCAAAAAATGCCCGTACTTCCCACTTTGTCTTCTCTGAGGGATAAAAAATGTCCTCCTGAGCGCTGCCTTCTCCTCCTTTGGCCATTATTTCAGCTTTAGCTTCAAGAAAGTTTTGGTTGTAAACAACAAAGTGTGCATGTGCCGCCGGCAACTTCAGCAGATGATACGGTGGCTGGTAAGGGTCACCGCGCCGACACCGCAGCCACGATAATCCACCGAGATAATATAGTTTTTTAAAAACAAGACCGGTTATTATTATTGTCAACTTTTTTACCGGGGTCTACCGCTACACTGGTTACCGTGACAACCCTAGTGTTACCTGATGTGGTCCTGTCCAAACCCGCTCTGTTCTCTGAAGAGGCAGGATCAGGTGATGATGGACTGCTGCTTCTTAATGCATTTACACATGCAGCACACATGATCGGCAATGTTCAACTCAGCTTTGGTTCTCACATTTAGTTATTAAGCTGCTAAACAATTCAATTTGACTTTTTCACTTCCTGTAAATTATAATGATAAATGACCCACACTTGTATAGCGCCTCTCAGAGTAAGGACTCCAAAGCGCTTTACAATACAGTGTATCATTCATCCATTCACACACACACATTCACACACTGATGGTGATGAGCTACGATGTAGCCACAGCTGCCCTGGGGAGCACTGTCAGCTCACAGCTCTTTGTGCAGACCTCTCTGTAGAAACATAAACAGAATCTTCTGCTACACCTTTATATAAGAGTGTGTCATCTCATCATGTTCAGCTGTCACACCTCTAGTGAGTCCACATGGTGATGTCCTTATCTGCACTGAGGTCAGCACAGGTGAAACGTACAAAATGGTGCAAACGCTAATTAACTTCATTAGCATTAGGCCCCAAGTATAGATGCATGATCATACTTTTCAGGTGTCCATTATTTCTCTACCTAAAATCCTTGTTTTATTGATTTCATGTAGGTAATAGTCTAATCGTCTGAGATGTTGAATGTGTGGTTTTCATCAGCTGTAAACCATAATTATCAGAATTATAACAGATAAAGGCTGAAACACCAGGTTTTGCATGAGTCTGTCACTTATATTAGTTTCACCTTTGAAGCTGAATTAGTGACGTAAATGAACTTTTGCTTCTTATTGTAGTTATTTAAGTCTGACCTGTAGTTTCCACAGCAGTTAGATATAAATTATATTTCACTGATAAACAGGGAACATCTGGGGGAATAACTTAGATGTACACAGCTGTTAGAGCTGCTAGAATCCCTCTTTACCAATATGTATTTTCTAATAATAAAGCTAGACACAATCAAACATTTAACAGGAAGTGTGAATGGACTTTTGACATCTGCCTTGGATTGCTCTAATGTTTTAATTTCCTAGAACATGAGAAAGATGTGATAGTTCCAACATCTTCTTTAACAGAAGAACCTTCTTCTCAGTCTCCTGCAGGCTGACCAGCAGCTCTTAATCTGTGGTAGGAGAACGTATTTTATCCAGACAGCAACACTATGAACCAGCTACTGTCTCTGAGCTCCTGATCGGTGACAGGGTCCAGTCAGGAGTGCAGAGACAGTAATGGAGCAGCTAGAAGCACTCTGACAAGCTCTCCCTTCTGTTGGTTCTCTGAGAGGAGGAGGTGGGGGGGGGGGGGGTTTCTGGCAAATTTGCCGGGAAAATACTGGAAAGGGGAAAGGGGGGTGAAATAGGTAATTTCCCAACCTAAACAGAACACAGGTACGCAGGTAGTGGAGGAACGCTTTTGAGACAGAACCACAACAGAATGTGACATCACACCGTCGCTGCTACCTAATCTTAACTAGATGACATGAGGCTACTGCTAGCTAGCATGATTATATGCTAATCAGAGAATATGAAAAAACAAATCTAATCAAAAGTACATACCTTTCACAAGGGTGGTATAAGGGTTTGATGTCCACAGGTGGGGGTTGTACTTACAGCCGAACATTGTGCAGAATGTTTGGCTTTTGCAAATTTGCCACTGGCACTCTGTGCTCTTCACAGATGTAAGCAGGTTCACACTGAGCACGTGTGACAGACGTGGCAGAGTCCGGAGACGCATAGAGAATGTTCTGCTGCCTGCATCATCCTCCAACATTGGCAGTTGGTCAGTAATGGCATGGGGTGGTATTTCTTTGGGAGGCTGCACAGCTCTCCATGTGCTTACCAGAGGGAGCCTGACTGCCATTAGGTACCAAGATGAGATCCTCAGACCCCTTGTGAGACCATATGCTGGTGCAGTTGGCAATGGGTTCCTCCTAATGCAAGAAAATGCTAGACCTTATGTGGCTGGAGTGTGTCAGCAGTTCCTGCAGGACAAAGACATTGATGCTATGGATTGGCCCGACAATTCTCCAGGACTGAATCCAATTGTGCACATCTGGGACATTATGTCTCTCTCCATCTACCAAAGCCATGTTGCACCACAGATTGTCCAGGAGTTGGTGGATGCTTTAATCCAGGTCTGAGAGAAGATCCCTCAGTAGACCATGGGCCACCTCATCAGGAGCATGCCCAGGTGTAGGGAGGCCATACAAGCACATGGATGCCACACACACACTACTGAGCCTCATTTTGACTTGTTTTAAGTACATTACATCAAAGTTGGATCGGCCTGTTGTGTGTTTTTCTACTTTAATTTTGAATGTGACTTCAAAGCCAGACCTCCGTGGGTCGATAGATTTCCATTGATAGTTTCTGTGTGATTTTGTTGTTAGCACATTCAACTATGTATGGAACTAATTATTTCATATTTCATTCATTCAGATCTAGGACGTCTATTGTTTGTGTTCCCTTTATCTTTTGAGTAGTGCATGTATGTGTGTGAGTGTGTATGTATGTAACAAATTATTCATACTTAGTTAACTTGACTAACAGTATTAAGAAGTATCAATACTCTTACATGACTACATTCTTTGACTTCTCTTCCCACCAACAGTCCTGTCTGATTAAAATACTGATTTTGTTAACTGAGGTTGTTTAGAAAACTGATTATTTTAAACTTTTGCACAAAGAAACTGTTTAAACTGGCCCACTTGTCTCTGAGAGATGTTGTTCTTGATTAAAACTCACCTTTTTCTTTCTCTCCACAGTGTAAAGATTTCCTCAGAGCCGGCCGGGGGATTTATGAGGACTTGTGCCGTAGACTGCCTTTCTACCCTTCTGACTTCACAGATGGTAGGCTGAACCTAGACTTGTGAAAGTGAATCATCTTTGTTAATAAGCCTCAGCAGGGTGTCAATGGCAGCTCCTCATTCATCTTTCCCTCTTTGCCTCATGTACATCTGTGCTGCGTCTGATACAGCCAGCATTTGCTATGACTGTCACACTGCTCCCATGTTTCCCTATGTCCAACATGATCCTAATATCTCAAGTCATCCATCACAGACATTGTTCTGTGCATTGTTGGGTGATGGTGAAACCGAGTCATCAACTCACACTCGTTTTCCACAAATGTGTGAAAGGACTTCTGCCTCAAGCCAACCGTATGCTCATGTGCTTCTGTAAAAACATGACTCTAAAGCCTGATTTATGCTTCTCCGTCTGCGTCAGTGCAGAGACACACAACGCCATGATCCGTCCCTGTGTAGGGCTCCGGCAGGCACGCAAGTACATACGGAGTCGAGCCCACCTTTTTAAACATCCGTCGAACGAGACGGATTACGCAAGCTTGTGATTGGTCAGGACGCCGCTGTTGTTTACAGCGCCGCCATTGCAAAGAGAGCTGAGGATAACTAGCGGCAGACACGGAGAAGCTTGAAGTATACCTCGCGAAAAAACTCTAAAAATATGAACGTTTCATCCTCCCGTGACTGGAGGAGTGAAAAGCGTTTTATTTGTGGACGGAAATGACAGGAAACGTGGGTTTAGAGGTGGGGAGCGCATGAAGCGGTGGGAGAATGAGAGACAAATATGTCCGTGTTACATCTCGAACCAGACTGAAAACCAAAGGGGACAGGGCCTTTCAGACTATTTCACCCAGACTTTGGAACAGTCTGCCTTCATATCTCTGTCACTCTAACACTGTAGAGGTCTTTAAAAATCATCTAAAAACTCACCTTTTCATCCAGGCGTTCCCTCCCTAAATGTTTCAAAAAGATGGCTTTGTTCGGGTTCACACCTTCACTTTGTTTATACTCATGATTTTATTTTCTACGTTTATCACTGCTATTGTTTTTCTGATGTTTTTATTGGTTAGAGGTATTTGCCCTGATCTTTAACATGTTGTACAGCGCTTTGTGATTTATATCTGTGAAAGGCGCTATATAAATAAACTTTTACTTACTTACTTACAAAGTCTCTTATATACACAAAAAACACAATATAAACACACCATCTTGGACCGATACATGACAGGATACCATAGAGCAGCGCTACACCCTCTGTGGTCCTGCCGGGCAATTGCTTTGCAACACTCTCCAGGAGACGGAGAAGTATGAGAGCAAAACGCTTCCGTCAATCCGTGCGTGTCTGTCCCTTGCGGAGCTGAAGGAGAAGCATAAACCAGGCTTTACAGACAGGAATTTAGTGGAAGATTAAAATATAACAAATCTAGAAAGACTAAATGCCAAGCACCAAGAGTTTCCATGTCACGTTGTTGTTTTTTCCATCTTTCTTTATACATTTTGTTAGGTATTTTCATTTTCCCATCCAGGGTTACCTGAAGGGAAAGCTCAACACGCAGGGGTTGTATTAACAAGCTGATCGATTTAACCCATACCAATCTTTACCAATAACCAAACAATTTAGACAGTTCTTCAATCATATGGAGCAGAAGCCATTCATGAGGTTATGTACAACATTCAATATACCAGAGAACACAAAAATCATAATTTTACAATAATTTTCCCTATAATGCTGTAACTTGGGGTCAAATCCAGCAGAAAAGAGAAATGTGTAAAGGGCTGGGTCATTTCTGTATTACGGGGGGTTACTTAGGAAGGTCTAAAACTGCATCATCTGCTCCATCGTCGGGGGTGTTGGGGCATTCAACATGGTTTCCTGTCTTCCTGACTGGATCTGCCTTCACCTGACAGCAGTGTGTACCAAAATACCGGACTGGAGATTTCTTTACCCACTGTAGATTATTTTTACTGACTTTGTTCACCGTTAGGTGAAGATTTTGCAAAAAGGCATGAGAGTCTGTGAGGCAAAACTCTGCCCCTCCAGATGCAATCAAACCATCATCTACGTAAACAAGGATTTCAGAGAAGTGGCTGAACATTAAAGGTCAGCTAGACAATTAGTGATTGCTTTAGTAAAAATTGTGGGATTTTGTAAGTTGTGCTTTAAATTTTGTAGAAGAAAGCAAACCAAAAAAAATTGTGAGTCAGAATGCACAGGAACCTGAAAATGCATTGCTTCAGGGGACAAAGGGTATTGTAAATTGGGGAATTGTTTAAATCTGCGCCTAAACTGGGATTTTGGTTCCACTGGGATTTCTGGCTGGTGTTTACATTCCAGGAAGGACTGAGGTAGTTAAACTGAGACATTCGGCAGGATACCAAACAAATGATTTACCGTAGATGGTCACTATCGCTCTACCAATCAATTCATTACAATCCATGATAGAAAACTAAGTCTAACTAAAGGGAAAAAGGAAAAAAGAAGAAAAATCTGTTGTATAGAATACATTAAACCCAAATCCAATTCCTATGGCTTGCAGGCCTTGAGGCGCTCGAAGGCTTTTTATAACAAAAGAAAAAACAAACCAAAGGAAGATCTTAAGGTGGCCACCATAAACAACACAAGAAAAACAAAGCCAATGTTAGTCACCTCAGTTGTGACTTTCTCATTTCTCTTCAGACTTCTAAACAGTTTAACAGAATATCAGATATCGCAGAGATTCAAATGATGACAACCATTATTTTGGAATACCCCATCTGTAGTTTTGAATTCAAACAGGCACTACGGGCCTCATATATACCCGGGTTTTGGGTTGTCACCACCCGAAATCCCCTGTCTGGATACGAAGATTTGGAAAGTTAGCACTCCCAGAAAGTAGGGCTGGGGGTAAACGATTATTTTTAAAACGATTATTCTGACGATTATTTTATCGAATAGTCGACTATTCTAATGACTATTTAGAAAATTAATCTAATGATTATTTTTCTATTGCACAATTAACAAAAACCAGAAAATCTCAAATAAATTCCTCAAAAAAATTGATAAATTCTTACTGTAAGAGAATAAACACTACAGGCCTTCCATTTTGTATAACACTGCGTTTATTGTGTTGGTTTTCTGGTGACGTGTAGAACCTGGGAGTGCAGGCTGCTGCCTGAGAGGTGGTAGAAGATGGTGTCTCCATGCTGCTTTGTTTTGGTCACTTATGTGCGTGAGGCGAGTGGTCTTACATTTTAAACTAAACCGAAAACCCACAACACTCTAAATGTAATAAAAGGGAGATCTACACCACAAAAAAGATGAACTCTAAACCAAAACGTAACAGCTTATCCCAACGCAAGAAGCTGTTAGCGAAGATGCTAACAGTAGCTTTACCAACATTAAGTTCAAGTTACCAAGTTTAAATAAACCCAAAACACCCAGCAGCAAACAGACCAGCACGGAGGAGAGACTGCTACCACCAAAACAGCTCTCCTCATGTCTGAAAGAAGCTCCTTAATGAAGGGAGAAACGCTCCCGGTGATTTTCTACATCTGCGACAGAGACGGAGCAGCGCACATCTGACCCCGGAAGTTGTTGTCCGTTGCCGGGAGACGAAGGGGCAAAACAGGAAAATAATCTAGTAGTGGACGGACGTTGTTCCGGGTCTTCGGTATTTGGCGGAGATGTTAGTGAAGGCGGAGAAGAGGGCGAACTAGAGGAAAAACAGGCAGATTCCTCCTCTATTTACAAACTCCAGGGGATGCAACAAGTGGGCGCGGTGCGTCGACTTCCGGATCTGACGTCGACAAATTTTTAGAATCGAGCCGTCGACTTCGTCGAGGCTTCGCTACAGCCCTACCAGAAAGTAAAAAGAAAAAGAAAAATCCAATATACAATTAACTGCAAATAAAAGATCAATAGGGCGGAGTCATTCACATGATAGCAGGGGAACAGTGTGTAATCTAGATTACTTTAAACCAAACTTTCCATCCATAGTCATAGCCATCCACCATAAATAAATAAAATTCTCGGGTCACAAGAGCAATAAATAGTTAATAGTTGTGCCACTTTCATTTTGGTTTGTTGCAGGAGCCTTTCAACTTTTAATTTGTTTTTATTTTAGGGTATAACTACAATTTGGAGACTCCCTTTCGACCACCATTTTGATTTTCAATTTTATTTCATTTGATTTTTTATTTTATTTTATAGCCCCGTAGGCTATAATTGATAAGATATTATTTGGTCAGTAATAACCACGCGCAGTCACGATGTGGATTAACCTGCACTTGGCTAAACCTCTGAGGGTTTCTATAATCCCCCCTGTTCTAGGGGCAGAAGGTGAAAATGTGGCCCAATCGGACTTTGACTCCCTCCCATGCTCATCGACCGGACCTTAAATTGCCCCTAAACCTCCCAAAATCATCCTTAATGCAACAACTTCCCTGTTTCTTTCCCTACTTACTTTTTCGGATATTCTCCTGTCTTTTATCTGTCTCATCTTTCCATATTGTTGCTATCTTCAACTGTTCTTCCTTAGCCAATTTCTTTTCGCCAGTGAATGCCGTAACTTTGAGTGTGTAAATGTTGACCAAATCCTGCACCTCTTAGCTGCCCATCGACTTTGTACTTTTTGCTCCATTTTTCCATAAATTTTAAGCTATCTGGGTGTTTATGAGACATAAACTTCATATCTCCCTCCAGTTTGTCTTTAGACGCGGTATTCCCCATTGTATCTAGGTTGTTGTGTTTACTGGTTTGGTAAAGCAATCTGAAAGCACGCCAAGGATATCTAATGTGAAAATGATCACAAATATAATTAAATTTAAATTGCAGATGAGGGCATGTATTAAACTGATAACATATGGCAGCCACTGCACTCTTCCATTTCTGTCTTCCACACACGCTCAGAGCTTTTGGCTGGGGACACACACACGATGTAACACTCTCAAAGTCCCTGGTTCACACACACCTTCACACACACCCGTACTCAAAACCTCATCCACACACTTCAAGTCCCCGAGACATGAAACCGAACCAGGCAGAACTGGCCAGTTTTCACACATCCAGATGGATCAAAGGACAGCTGAAACTCTTCAGCACAGAGCTCCGGCACAATTAAAACCCACAAAGCCACACAGACAACCATGATCAGCAAGCGGCGGACGAAAAAAACAGGCACACCACCAAAAACCGATGAGGAGCACACAAATCATGAAGCAATATGATTTTTTTTCCCCGTCGACTTGAGTAGTAAGCCAAAAGCAGCGGTGTCCAAATCTTTGTACCTCAGCAGCAATAGGAAACCGTTTAAACAATCCCCTCGACAGTGTGTTCATAAGAGACCCTTTCAACTCAAAAATGCCAGCACACGGCCGTCAGCCAGCGCTGTGTCTACGCCAGCGGTGCTATTATATCATATATTAATTGTTTTGTTTATTTCCATAAGTTCCAACAGTCTGCGGTTCCGATCGCCTCTCAGCCTTCCCCAGTAGCGCCAGACCTCCATGTATAGTTAAGACAGTTCGGGTTCCAACAGCCAGGTCTAGGCGCGACTCAGCGGCTACGCCACCTTCTTTTTCAACTCTATTTCACCGGGGCCGTCCAAAACTGTTTGCCGAAATGATGAACATCTTACGCGTCTGGAAGGAAGACACATACATAAAACACACTGTCAAGTCAACCAGCTTTATATATGCAAGGCTGCAAAAAAGAGGTACTCACTCACTCCTCCAATCCAATCCCCCCTGCGCGGCGGAGTCACCCCGAAGTCCGACGCGCGCGAGACAGCCAGAGAGAGGAGTCCCACGGAGCCATCCAGCCGGCCAGGAAGCAATCCCTGCCCCACGGACCGAAGCAGGAAACAGCCCCTGGAGACGACCCCCCAGCGGCTGAACTGCACGACGGGTTACACGGCACCAAAATGTTAGGTATTTTAATTTTCCCATCCAGGGTTACCTGAAGGGAAAGCTCAACAAGCAGGGGTTGTATTAACAAGCTGATCGATTTAACCCATACCAATCTTTACCAATAACCAAACAATTTAGACTTTGTAAAGTGGAGAGAGATCAATGAAACACACAAGTCAGTAGTCATTTCGCTCTCGTCAGACAAAGCCCACCAAGAGTATTTATTAAGGACACACAAACATGATAAAACGCACACACATTTATACATTCCTTTAGACTCTCGAAAGGAGGCACTGGCACAGGGCGTTCTTACTGATAAGCCAAGACTGGGAAGAGGCAAGGTCAAACGCCTGTCTGTTGCCAGGGAAAAATGAGCTGGATGAAGCTTTCGCTTAAAATAATAAATAATGTATCCATAATTTATCCAACACATTTTCTCTTATTAGTCTCAATATGAGTTAATTGAGCTGTGAGTAAATTAAAACCCCTCTGATGTGCACGTTTCATCATCCTCCCCTGCAAGATCCAAACATTGTGAGCACATGAATTGTTACATTCCAAAATGTTGTGTGGTCTTTCGTTAGGGTGACTGTGGGTGATACTGTAACCACAGTAGGACAGTTTATCCTGGGCTCTGTGTTTCTTATTGCAGAACACTAAATGATGCCTTCTGATAATGATGGTGGAGAAATCACAGAACTGAAGCTGCTCTGCTTCATTACAAGGTGTGTTTGTGTTTGTCTCCCTCCAGGGATCGTTGGCAGTAATAAAACCCTGCTGAAGTACATGACCACAGCCATCTTTCTGTACATCGCCATCCTCCTTCCTGCCATCGCTTTTGGCTCGCTCAATGATGAAAGCACTCGTGGTGAAATTGGTATGAGCAAACATAAGGACACAGGTCTCAAATATGGGTGCTTGGTATAGCCCAACTTAAAGATAGAATAGGAGTTCCTGAAAACGTTGTTGGAACATGCTACATGTTAAATATACGTCATTCTGAAGTCTAACACCCTTTCTTCAGGTGCCTTCCGCTGCCCCCCCCCCCCCCCCCCCAAAAAAAAAAAGCCGTGCCTCCAGAATACAAGATACAAGATGGTACAATTATTGTTCCCAAGGCATTATAGTATTTTGGTATTTTTCTGCCCCAGTGCAGACAGATCTCAGGTCCAAAATAGTGTATTTACCATTTATTTTTAGTGTGTGCATGTATTTTAGAGACCTTGCAACAAATTTGGCACTCATAGGGAGCCTAAGTCTTGTCTATCTACTTCTGGACCATGAGACCATGAATGGGAGTCTACGAGAGGAACCAGCTGGATGCCTCCTTGACAACTCATTTGAGAAGTTTTCCAGGAACGTCCGACAGGGAGGAGACCTAAAGGGAGACCCAGAACACACTGGAGGGACTATGTCTCTCGGCTGGCCAGGGAATACCGTGGGATTCTACCTGAAGAGCTGGCTGGCGAGAGGGAAGTCTGGGCTTTCCTGCTTAGGTTACTGCCCCCGTGACCCCACCCCATATAAGCGAAAGAGAATGCATGGGTGGATGGATGGAGTCTACATGGGGATAGAAGTTATTTTCTGATTCAGTTGGATATGTGCCATGGATTTTACATATGATGTCAGTGAATTTTAAAGACATGTTTTGATGCCAAGACAGCAAACATTTTTGACATGCAGCAGAAATTACTTTAGATTTTGTGCAAATAGACGTAATGGACCACAAATGCGCTTCTCACCAAATTGATATCATCTAACTAGACATGGCAAAGACAAGAAAAATGGCTTTGAGTTTAGCAAGCTTCACATCCTTCTTCAGGCATGAAAGAAGGAGCATTAAACGTGGAGAAAACCACTATAAATCTGACCATGTGGACAGTAGCAGCTATGCTGGGGAACTTGATTTGTATTTTAATTACAGATTTTTATAAGCTAACAAATCTCAAGTTGCTTGGCAGACATAGTTGAAAAACACATAATTATTTTTTAGTTACAACATATGTATGGTTCAGGATGTAAGGCAAAGTGGACCAGAAAAGAAGTTTCATAGTAGTTCTGTTCAGGGGACCCATGAGCCTAGCCTAGTCTGCCAGACTCCTCCTCTGTTTACTTCTGCACAGAGAAAGGGTCTGGGAACTCTCCTATTCAAATAACCTTCTAACCGAGCCAGTCAGCACTGAGTAGGGTAAGTTACACACCACAACGCCGACTTTGTCATAAACATGGCGACCGAAGCGGCGTTCACTGCGGCTCTCTGTTCTAAATCACTTGGGCACGTCTTCAAAGCCACAACAAGTAGAAGCGCTGAAAGCCTTTCTTCTAAAGAAAGATGTTTGCGCTGTCGCCAGATGCCATTTTTGACAACTGTCATGAACAGAGTTCAGAAGACCCGTGAAGACGCCAACACAGTAAAAATATATATTAAAAAGTCTTTATTGAAAGCAGAGGTACCTGGAGGGCAAGGCTGAGGCAGGTTCAGAGGCAGGCTAAGGTCAAAGTGGCAGGCAGAGAGCAAGGCAGGGGTCAGGCAAAAAACAAGGTCCAGAGGCAAAGATCAGGCAGGGTGGATGGCTGGAGAACTACTGACAAGGCTGTAATAATCTGGCCTCTGTTGACTGGATGGCTGGTTCTTTTATAGCAGGGGAAGCAGGTGAATGGGATGAGGCTGATTACAGGAGCAGGTGGAATGAATGGAGCTGATTGAAGCTGACAGAGGTTGCTGGGGAAAGCAGGGCTTGGCTGGAGCTTGGTGAGAGGAACCAGGTGAGCTGAATGAAGGTATAATGAGGAAGTGGAGGAGGGTGAAGGATGGGAGTCATGACAGAACCCCCCCCCCCCCCCCCTCAAGGGCGGATACGAGACGCCCACAGGAAACCAGAGCAGGGCGGGAGGAGGGGGACCAGGAAGGAGGGCCGGAAGGGTCTGGGGGGCCGGCGACGGGGAACCAGGAGCCGGGACTGTGGGAGTCTGGGGGGCCGGCGACGGGGAACCAGGAGCCGAGACCGTGGGAGTCTGGGGGGCCGGCGACGGGGAACCAGGAGCCGAGACCGTGGGAGTCTGGGGGGCCGGCGACGGGGAACCAGGAGCCGGGACCGTGGGAGTCTGGGGGGCCGGCGACGGGGAACCAGGAGCCGGGACTGTAGGAGTGTGGTGACAGAGGACACTGGCGGACGAGGACTAAGAGGGGACACTGGACCAAGACCAAGACTACGAGGAGACTCTGGACTACGACTAAGAGGGGACACTGGACTACGACTAAGAGGGGACACTGGACTACGACTAAGAGGGGAAACTGGACTACGACTAAGAGGGGACACAGGAACTTCAGACTGGGGAACTTCAGACTGGGGAACTTCAGACTGGGGAACTTGAGGGCCGGAGGGGTCCTCTTCAGAGCAGGGGCAGGAGGGGTCCTCTTCAGAGCAGGGGCAGGAGAGGTCCTCTTCAGAGCCTGGAGGCGTCGACCCTTGGACTGGAGCCCCTTGGACAGGCTGGACCGGGGCCTCTTGGACCTCATCCGTCGAAGCCGGATGCGATGCGTCCTCCGAGACCACCGCCGGAGCAGGGTGCGATGCGTCCTCCCGGACCACCGCCGGAGCAGGGTGCGATGCGTCCTCCCGGACCACCGCCGGAGCAGGGTGCGATGCGTCCTCCCGGACCACCGCCGGAGCAGGGTGCGATGCGTCCTCCCGGACCACCGCCGGAGCAGGGTGCGATGCGTCCTCCCGGACCACCGCCGGAGCAGGGTGCGATGCGTCCTCCCGGACCACCGCCGGAGCAGGGTGCGATGCGTCCACCGGGACCACCGCCGGAGCAGGGTGCGATGCGTCCACCGGGACCACCGCCGGAGCAGGATGCGATGCGTCCACCGGGACCACCGCCGGAGCAGGATGCGATGCGTCCACCGGGACCACCGCCGGAGCAGGATGCGATGCGTCCACCGGGACCACCGCCGGAGCAGGATGCGATGCGTCCTCCGGGACCACCGCCGGAGCAGGATGCGATGCGTCCACCGGGACCACCGCCGGAGCAGGATGCGATGCGTCCTCCGGGACCACCGCCGGAGCAGGATGCGATGCGTCCTCCGGGACCACCGCCGGAGCAGGATGCGATGCGTCCACCGGGACCACCGCCGGAGCAGGATGCGATGCGTCCACCGGGACCACCGCCGGAGCAGGATGCGATGCGTCCACCGGGACCACCGCCGGAGCAGGATGCGATGCGTCCACCGGGACCACCGCCGGAGCAGGATGCGATGCGTCCACCGGGACCACCGCCGGAGAAGGACAGATGGAGGTGGGACCCCTGCTGGACATGGATGTGGTGCGGACCCTGGGACCACCGCTGGACATGGATGCGATGCGACCCCGGGAACTACCGCTGGACCTGGACAGGCGGAGCCTCTCAGACAGGCGAAGGTGGAATCTCTGCTGGACGAGGATGTGGTGCGACCTCTGGGACCACCGCTGGACGTGGATGCGATGCTCCCCCTGGGACCACCGCTGGACGTGGGTGCGATGCAACCCCTGGAACCACCGATGGACCGGGGCAGGTGGAGCCTCTTCAAAAGGCGGAAGTAGGAACCCCACTGAGCGTGGACGCTGTGAGACTCCTGGGACCACCGCTGGACGTGGATGCGGTGCGCCTCCTGGGACCACCACTGGGTGTGGATGCGGTGCGTCTCCAGGGACCACCGCTGGACGTGGACGCGGTGCGCCTCCTGGGACCACCGCTGGACGTGAACGGGACGGAGGGACTCGAGGCTTGAGCGGCGTAGTTGCAAAACCTGGCGTCTGTGAAGGCCATGAATTAGTAGAAGGTCTCCGGGACTGCCACTGTTGCGTTGTCAGGTACCCGTTGCGCAAGATGGCCGCAGCAGGCCTGGACGGAGGAGTGGAACCTCTGCGAGGCTGTGGCCTGATGGCCAGCCGTGTTCCCCAGAACGGTGACGCCTGCTCCTTCTCTAGTTCCATGAAGTCCAGGAGCGTGAGATACTCCATGACAGGTATGAAGGGAAAAAAAAAATACTCCCAAGTGCTGTGTCGGCGTAGGGTCAGAGTTTGGCCAGATTATTCTGTCATGAACAGAGTTCAGAAGACCCGTGAAGACGCCAACACAGTAAAAATATATATTAAAAAGTCTTTATTGAAAGCAGAGGTACCTGGAGGGCAAGGCTGAGGCAGGTTCAGAGGCAGGCTAAGGTCAAAGTGGCAGGCAGAGAGCAAGGCAGGGGTCAGGCAAAAAACAAGGTCCAGAGGCAAAGATCAGGCAGGGTGGATGGCTGGAGAACTACTGACAAGGCTGTAATAATCTGGCCTCTGTTGACTGGATGGCTGGTTCTTTTATAGCAGGGGAAGCAGGTGAATGGGATGAGGCTGATTACAGGAGCAGGTGGAATGAATGGAGCTGATTGAAGCTGACAGAGGTTGCTGGGGAAAGCAGGGCTTGGCTGGAGCTTGGTGAGAGGAACCAGGTGAGCTGAATGAAGGTATAATGAGGAAGTGGAGGAGGGTGAAGGATGGGAGTCATGACAACAACAGCTAAAAATCTACAGGACATCACACACAGCTACGCTCAGTTTCTCATAAACACGAAGACAGCGCCGGAGTTCGCTGCGGCTCTTTCCTCTGTTCTAAATGACTTGAATGTCTTTAAAACTACAACAAGTAGAAGCACTAAATGCCTTTTATTAAAAAAAAAGATATTTGCGCCGTTGCCAGACGCCTTTTTTGTCTACAGCTAAAAAACTACAGCGTCGCGCGTCCGTCTTTTTTCTGATTGGTTATTTTTGAGCTGCCTAGTCCTGCCCCTCAAGTGCCTCTCTGCCTGTGAGTTACCAGACTCTTTCTCTGTGCAGAATTAAACAGAGGATGAGTCTGGCAGGCCAGGCACCATGAGCCAACCACAGAAGGGAGGAGCCTTAGCCTCCCTATTGTCTTCCACCCCTTCATTCGGGCCCACATTTCTCGCTATTTGTCACAAATAAAGTTTGCTGCATATCTTTGTACTCCTTCTGTCACGGGCGTATGGAGTAGTAAAAAAATTATAGTTGGGCTGTATTCATATATTGCCTTCTAGAGATCTACAAGCCCCAAGGTGTTTTACAGCACAGTCATTGACCCATGCACACACACAAGTCCAAAGGTTGAACAAGTGAGTGCGAGTCTGATGTGATGTTCTGTTCCTTCTATTCTTAGTTCAATTTCAGCTCTATTTGGGATCAACATTCAGCAGACATGAGGGTTTTCAGCCTTTCTCTCAACACATGGTTGGTAATTAGGCTCAAGAGAACTCTGGCACAGAACTACCTACTAATTATACCAAAAGCTGAATAATTAGCTAAATGAGTCTGGTGGTTATTGTTGGGTTTAAAAATAAGCTGATAATTCTGTGTGGGTGTAAAATCATGTCTGTGTGTTACTACTAGCATGCCGAATGATATAAACATTATGCTTCAGTTCTAAAGTTGAGTGATAGATTTAGTTTTTTCAATTAAATACGTTGTGTAAAAAATGTTATTAACACATGTAAACAGCCCTCCCAGCAGTACACGTACTCTTTAAATGGGTATTATGTTATTTTAAAACTTTCAAAGCAACGGTACATAAAATATTTGATAAAATATTTACGCTGGCACTGTTGAGATGTAATTTTTTAATGAAATTTGTGATTTTTGCAAACCATTATTTCTACCTGGAAAAAAAACTGTTGGATTAATGAAACTTCACCTACCCCTGTGTGAATTCCACAATAGTACACAGCTGCAGACCCAGAGACCATAGATTCATGCTTGCTGCAGATTCACCATCATGTCCCACTCAGCCCCCCGAGAACTCTCGGTTGAACACGTGAACCAAAAGTTAAAGGCTTAAGCCCTCAATGATTGGAGTATGAATCAGATTGCTAAATTAGTTTTATTAAATTTGATATATTACTATTGATGTTTCTTAATTTGATTTTTAATCAGTCAAATGTGATTTTGAGCTGTTTATCTGCCTTAAAGCTGTGCTAAATGAAGTTACCAAACTAGATAAAAGTATTAGTAGTGGACTGCATTAGTAGTTTGTGTAGTAGTAGTTAGTTTAGGTGTGGTCAGTTCATGGTGGTAAAGCTTTAGGATTTATGTGTCAAAACAATTAAATGGATGTTTTTATTGGTTGCTTTAACCCAATTATTAAAATATGTTTATGTTTATGTATTTAGCATCAATCACTTCTTCACAATTGTTGATATTAAACACACTGCGGAGAGACTGGAGGTTAGTATTTACAGTCCAGGGTAGGAGGGAAGAATAAACTACCTGGATGGGGAGGAGTGGGTCATGATGATGCAGCAGCAACATCCAGCTGAATGCAGGCAGACGGGCTGAGAGCTGAGACAGAAAAAGCAAAAACTGCTCCAACAATATAACACATTCAGAAGCTCCAAAAAGTGGATTTTGTCATATGTAGGACTTTCAACATCATGCATGCTCCCTCAGAATCAGCTCCCCTGTCAAGTTTTTAAGAAAGGAAGGAAGTTTGAATTATATTGCACTTCTCACTGATGCAAAGTTCTTACAAGGCAGTACAAACAATAAAAAACTGAACTAAAAGCAAACTTATTTAAACAGTTAAATATTTGCTGTTGTTAAAATATATTAATAAAGAAAATCATTTAACCGCTTTTATTGACATGTTTTAGATCAGCTTTTCTTTTCTACTGATATTTGACATATCAACATAATCTTAATATCCGAATATAAAACAATGCCAATGTACACTCTAGGAACAGCTGTTCAACTTCTCCTTAATGCAGTTATCTAATCAACCAATCACATGACAGCTGCTTCAATCATCTAGTGGTGTGATCCTGGTCAAGACAATCTCCTGAACTCCAAACTGAATGCCAGAATGGGAAAGAAAGGTGATTTAAGAAATTTTCAGCGTGGCATGGTTGTTGGTGCCAGACAGGCCAGTCTGAGTATTTCATGATCTGCTCAGTTACTGGGATTTTCACCCACAACCATTTCTAGGGTTTACAAAGAATGGTGTGAAAAGGGAAAAACATCCAGTATGCGGCAGTCCTGTGGGCCAAAATGCCTCGTTGATGCTAGAGGTCAGAGGAGAATGGGCCGACTGATTCAAGCTGATAGAAGAGCAACGTTGACTGAAATAACCACTCGTTACAACCGAGGAACGCAGCAAAGTATTTGTGAAGCCAACACGCACAACCTTGAGGCGGATGGGCTACAACAGCAGAAGACCCCACCGGGTACCACTCATCTCCACTACAAATAGAAATAGAGGCTACAGTTTGCACGAGCTCACCAAAACTGGACAGTTGGACTGGAAAAATGTTGCCTGGTCTGATGAGTCTCCATTTCTGTTGAGACATTCAAATGGTAGAGTCAGAATTTGGCGTAAACAGAATGAGAACATGGATCCATCATGCCTTGTTACCACTGTGCAGGTTGGTGGTGGTGGTTTAATGGTGTGGTGGATCTTTCTTGGCACACTTTAGGCCCCTTAGTACCATCTGGGCATGGTTTAAATCCCACGGGCTACCCGAGCATTGTTTCTGACCATGTCCATCCCTTCATGACCACCATGTACCCATCCTCTGAAGGTTACCGTATTTTCCGGACTATAAGTCGCACTTTTTTTCATAGTCTGGCTGGTCCTGCAACTTATACACCAAAGTGACTTATATACCAAATTATGTAGGCTATACCGCGCTGCTGCCTGCCGGCTCCGCCCCAGAAATAAGCTCCCCTGTCCCGCTGGGAGGGTTTCAAACACCGCCATCACCTGCTGCAGCCTGAGGCGGGGTGCTGCGGGCCGGCTCCGGCCCAGGAATGAGCTCTCCCCGTCCGTTGGGAGGGTTTGAAATACCGCCATCCTCTGCTGGAGACCGTGGCGCGCTGCTGCGCATTCCGTTGATGAAACAGCTGGTTGTTTATTCTGTTATTGTTACCGGTACTTGTCTTGCAATGTGAAACGCATGGTCTCAGACTTTGTAAGAAAAATAATAAAATTCCCCCTCAAAATGGGACTTATAGTCCAGTGTGACTCATATGTGTTTTTTTCTTCTTTATTATACATTTTATGGCTGGTGCGACTTATACTCCAGAGCGACTTATAGTCCGGAAAATACGGTACTTCCAGCAGTATAATGTACCATGTCATAAAGCTCCAATCATTTCTAATTGGTTTCTTGAACATGACGATGAGTTCACTGTACTGCAATGGTCCCCACAGTCAACAGATCTCAACCCGATAGAGAATCGTTGGGATGTGGTGGAACGGGAGCTTCATGCCCTGGATGTGCATCCCACACATCTCCATCAACTGCAAGATGCTATCCTATCAATATGGCCAACATTTCTATAGAATGCTTTCAGAACCTTGTTGAATCAATGCCACGTAGAATTAAGGCAGTTCTAAAGGCAAAGGGGGGTCAAACATCGTATTACTATGGTGTTTCCAATAATCCTTTAGGTGAGTATATGTAGAGCCCCCCCCCCCCTCCCATTTAAAAATCTAATCATTTTAGATAACATCACATATCATGCATTCATAAACTTTAAACATTATCTAGTTAAAATAAAGTTAAGCGATAGAAAAAGTGCCACAACCCTAAACCAAACCCATTTTGATGTCAATATTATCTGATTTAATGGTTGACCAATAACATTGGAAATCTCTGATCAGTAATATCTTTGCAGGGTAAGGTAGGTTGATGGTTCCACAGCCTTAGTGCTAACGCATCAAAGGAGAACTTACCTCAAAATGATGTTGTGGAGCCACAAGTAACATCTGGCCAGCTGATCCCAGAATGTGGCTCAAAGATGCCGAGATGAGTTGGACCATTCAGAGTTGTAAAAGTTAGAGTCAAAGTTTTTCTGGTAACCAGTGACAGAAACTGGTTTAATACGCAACTGTTGGTGCATTCCGGTAAACTTAAAATTATAATGCAACAGCCTGGGCTGGAGGACAAAATCCTACTTTTCTAGCAAAAACAGCTGAGGGCAACAAACAGCCCTCTGTCCACACTTAGGACATTCTAGACCTAAACAAACGTGAAATTAAAGGTCCCTTCATCCTCTGTTCAACAGTACATTTTGTTTTTTCTCTCTCTGTGATGGTTGTCTTCCCAGATGTGAGGAAAACGATCATAGGCCAGAGTATCGGTGGGGTCATCTACTCATTGTGTGCTGGCTCTCCTTTAGTTATCCCTCTTACCACTGCTCCCCTCGCCATCTTCATCAGCGGTAAGTTTTCCGTCTGCTTTCAGATCCTTCCATCCACAACGTCCACCACTGTCTCAGCCTGCAGCCAGCTTGAGTCAGAGTTTTGGGGGGTGGGAGGTGTGTGTGTGTGGGGGGGGGGGGTTGCCATAAGAAGATTACACTTTTTTTAACTAATTAAAAAAACTGAGTAAGCATCTAGTTGTAATGGAGCAAAAACATTCCCACAGCCTCATCCTTTGTCCTGCTGCACGCACGCACGCACGCACGCACGCACACACACACACACACACACATACACACACATCACTAATGAGCACCTTTAGCATAGTTAGAAGTAGAAGGAACATCTTTCTTCTTTTCCTCCCTGTTGTTATGTAACAGCTGGTTTTAGCGGCCGGCGGGTCAAAAATCCTGCTCATTACAGAAACAAGTCCACTTTTAAACAGATCAGACACACACAGCACACAAGCCACTGTGGGTTTTCTGAAAAACAGCCGTGGTTATCAGAAAGAATGTCAGTAATCTACAGTGCTGGAAGCTGCTAAATCTGCAGCGTGATGAAGAGGAGCGGGGACTTTGATGCCAAAAGGAAGTTTTATTGCCAAGGTGGTTTTCTTGGCTTGTAGCGTGAAGACCTTTGAAGTGAATGGAAGTGTGGAGGGCGAATTCCCAGAGAGTTGCGTGGAGTGTGTTTCCAGCAGGGAGTCACAGCGGAACAGAAGTTTGTTTCTGATGTTATAGGTCAAGATTACAATAAACTGCTATGCTTCTAATGAACTCATTAGGAAGTTTTCTCCTTTTGTGTTAGAACAAAGCATGTTTTCTCTCTGTGTTTGTGTGGATAAAGTTAGTTTCTGCTAAACTTCAAGAAAATGAAAGCTTAAATCCGGAGGTGGATTCAGCCACGAGTCCTTTTTCTGAGTCTCAGTTATATTTTAACCTGTTTATATCTGAGATCATCTTGAAGCTTGTTGCTGCTTCACTTAATCTCAAAATATCTGACCAACTATAGAAATGTTAATTTGCAAAAATAAATAAAAGTTATTTTGACCATTCTATATTTTGACTGAAATCACCAGAACTATAATTATAAAAACTATGCCTTTAAAGAAAACAAAAAAGTAAAAAAATAAATCTTTTCAGTTGCTGTCTTGCAGTTTATTTGATCTGTGGCTGTAGATGTTTCATTGACAGATTCAACTAGGTCATCATGTCAGTGATGTCCTGAATAGACTTGTATAAGGTCTAAAGGACAACTGAAGACTTTTGTTAACCTGGGTACCTTTTTCACATAACCAGACTCCTCCTCTGTAAGCTTCCCAAGCCATCCATCTCTTGATGTTGTGTAAAGATCCTGTCCTTAATGCAGAGGTTCACTGGAAACCTATAATACCTTTTCTTTTATACATACAAGAAGTGACTCTGGGTTTCACACTCATGCAAAACTCCAAAATAGTCATCAACCCTTTTAACCTTCATTGCAAAAAATAAAATAAAAAATAGATGGTGAAAGGCTCAGCTCAGAAAAAGCCACACAGATCTACGTCAAACCACCGACCGTCCAACGCCATCTGTTCTGCGTCTACGCACCCTTGTGTGGAGGTCCCCAGGCGATCCAGGGGGTTCAAGACGTCGGGATGGACACAGCCGGTAAAGTGGACCTCTGGCAACGGAACTCGTAGATAGCTCCGATACAATCCGTCTAGTCTGAGACAGGGGCGGATTTAGGATTGAAGAAGATCCAGGGCTGCGCACACGCGCGCACACACACATGACACACACTAGTCAACAGCATATATATATGTCTTGTACCACATAATTATTAATCTGAAGCTACATATTCAGCATATTCAGGGCAGAGTATTGTTCCTGTTAGTGTTTAGTGTGAGATGATAGTAAATATTCCCTTTCTTTCTCCAACAACTTTACCTGATAGTAAGCTAACTTTAGGCAAACCAGCAGCACAACAAATATTTTCAAATAAGACTCACAAACCTGAGTCAACACCAGTCTCATCAGAGCTGGGGTTCTGTCGCGGTACTTTTGGTCTAAAAAACGTCCTTATGTCCATCTTCACTCATGCGTTTCAGGCAGAGAGTGTAGAAGAAGCCGGCTGCTGAAGGGCTTCTTCTTCAGTGGTGGAGGCTCAGGCAGGCTGTATACAGACTACTGCCAGCTGCTCCCTCTCTGTTGGACTTTGGTACTGCATGTTACTTCCGCGATTTAGATCCGGGGCTTATCATGAAAGATCCGGGGCTTCAGCCCAAGTAGCCGGGCCTAGCGCCGCCCCTGGTCTGAGATACCTCCAGGTGACGGCAGGAAGCGGGAATGCTTATTTTGCATCTGAGGCTGTTTGGTGGCTCTTAAAAGAGCTGTTGTGTCTGATATCACCTGCATATGTTGCAGAGCAATGTTTTGACCTGAGGTCAAAAGAAGGGATGGTCTCAAATGCTTGCTCATCGGTTTGGCTGAACCAGGAGGCAACTGCAGAACTCCTTAGATCAGGAAGTGATCCCGCTTATATCAATTCTTGCTTACAAATTTAGACAAGTTATAATTTGGCACATGAAATGAATCATTACCAGATTTGTATTCATTTCAACACATCATTGATTAATGCACACACCAGCTATTTATACACTTTAGATTTAATCACATTGTTCATTCAACAAGAGATGATTATATGAAGTTTTAAAAGAAAGTAATTTATAATTCAAGGAAGAGGAACTTTATTCAGAGAGTGGAGGTCTCGTCTTCTGCATGAGACCTTGAGCAAAGATATTATGGCTTCCTTGTTCGGTAACAAGGTTGTTGAGCAGCACCTCTCTTGTGGGAGACCAGAAAGATATGATGTGACCCAGGATGTGTCACGCCATTTGTTCCTGCATGTTAAAAAGTTAACTTCTGGTCAAGGTGATGAAAAAAGGCCTTTGGTACGCTACAGACTGCAACGGGGAAGGCTGTTGTTGGTTTAGCATCCAGGAGAGAGCAGAGCGCGTCTCAGCTGGTAGAAGCTAACATTTAGCATTACCAACTCCACATAATTCCAGCTGAAGTAACTTTTTTCTGAGGCAAAAACATTTATGTTTGATTTTTAGCCAATCAGTGGTAAGATGTTTGCATGTCATGAATAATAATGAGTAAGACTCCAGGTCCTGCCATCTTCTGCTCCCCAGTCCTCCACTAAATTCTACTTCCTGAAAGAGGAGCACCAAAGCTTTATTCCTACAGTAAAACACTTAGAACCCAGCCTTTCCACTGGATGTATAAGCAGCAAATAATGTAATTGATGCTTTTAACCACGAGCTCCCTTCCAACTAGGAGTGTTTAAGGTGCAAAATGGGAGGGAAAGCATTTCACATAGTTTTTCCCATGTGGTCATGAAATCACAAAAGAATTACAACACCACGCGTGATTTCAGAAGTTCACATGATAACAAGTATGGAGAAAGACAACAGCATGCATCCAAAAAGGCTTGTGGTTTATTTTCTGTTCTGTTTTCTATGCTAAGTAGGTTTTACTTGTTAAGCAAATGGAAATCTGCACATGGCTTTTATTTTGAAAGCTTCCGTATGTTTTACACTTCTTTCATGTTTGCGTTCCTGTCTGGCCGGATCTAAACAGTTGAGTTTGATGCATTCTGGAAGGGTAGATTGTAAAAAATAAACAAAATGTAAACAACACGTCCTTCTGCTTCTGGGACACATCCAAATCGTCATCCTTTGCAGCCAGTGGAAATTCAGTTGTCCACTATAATGGCGGCTAATTGTTGTGAAGTACGTTTTGTGGCCGTTACATGACTCTTAAGCATCCAGTGGAAAAGAAGGCTAGGACATATTTTTATACAAGAGATCACATAACTTTACTGGAAAAATAATGTAAATGAGACCTTTAATAAACAGATCGTGTTTGCTCATCTGAACAGATTTTTGTGTCTGTTTGTGGCTCATCATCAGACTGACATATGTATTGGAAGGAGCATATTCATTCATTCATTCATTCTTTCGTTCTACAGTGATCCGTGGAATCTGTGATGACTATAACTTGGATTTTCCAGCTTTTTACGCATGCATTGGTTTGTGGAACTGCCTTTTCCTCATCCTGGGAGGAATCTTCAATGTCAGCCTGTTGATGAAGCTCTTCAAAAGGTTCTCTGCACACATCTCTAAATTCCTTTCATATTACTGCATTTCAAGACAGTTGAGTTTATAACTTTTCTCTTGTGTATTTAAGATCCACAGAGGAGGTTATTGCGCTCTTCATATCCATTGCATTTGTGGTTGATGCTGTGAAAGGCACCGTGAAAAGTAAGTCTAACAAGCAGAAGTTCATTTTATACTTTTTTCTTCTATCAGAACTTTGGGGTAATTTTACGAGAACTTCCCGCCATATGCATTCTCCCTTCCATCGGGTCGGCCCTGAAGGACCTTTTTCCGAGCCATTTCAGAAACCAAAAAAGTACCCGGACTAGACATTTACTTGGAATGACCTGGTAGAGTCGCCAAGTGGAACTGATTGGTTGTAACTTAGCAGGAAATTGCATCAGCATTTTCGAAAAAATGCGGAAATTGTAAAAGTGAAAAGTGTTGCTGGTAAAGCAGAATGGAAGAAAAAGAAAATTAGCAGCATTAATGCGGCTGTAAAATTGCTGTTTCTAAACTCCCAATTCCCCACAACACCATAATTTATGATGCTTCTTCTTCTACTTTAACATAATAAAACTTTTAATGTTGTTAATATTCATGGATGCTTTTCACTCTCTGCCAAAGCAGTTGCAATATGCCGACACCTTAGCAAAGTCCTGAAAGGGCTGATTTTGCATGGACACAACAGCAGAGAGTACTGAAGGTTGATTTATGCTTGACGCGTCCGCGAGGTCCGCACGGCTCTGCGCAGAAAAGTTGCGTCATTTTAACAACCACGCCCCTCCACCTCCGCACGGCCCAAACTTTCCGCACCACGCACCTAGGAAATTTTCTAACCACAAGGACAGTCGGACGGTCGGACGCGGAAGAACATGGCGGGCCGGCAAGAACTAGTATGGCAGAGGTTCGTAAATACAGACATTTGTATGATTCAGCTCTCAGAGATCACCGTGATCAACATGTTGTTAATAATTTTTGGAGAGAAATAGCTCGCACTGTCGGAAAAGACGAGGATTTTTTTTTTTTTTTTACTTTAATGAAGAACATGGTCTGCTGTACCTGTCATGATGACAGGTAATGTGTATTCCTACCTGACCTCTGTGGATTTGATGTCAGTCTTTCATAGATACTACCATTCACCGACTCTGGCAAACAGAAGTATAGAAGACTTTCCTCAGGGAGGAGACCTGCTGGGGGGAAACAGGAGCAAAGCAGTGCTCGGCTCGGTGTTCAATACCTTCCCTGAGTCTTTCATCCAGTGCACTCGAGAGAGGCCTGTCCTTTGCCTCCTGCTGATGCTCGGGACCTTATGGATGGGCTACACTCTCTATCAGTTCAAAAGGAGGTACGTGCTGCACTGGCATTCTGCAGCTCTGGACAGATAAATCAATGGAGAACTTTAGGTCATATTTAGGTGGGAGCACTCCCTGCTGAGACGAATCGCTAGCTTTCAGCAGTCATGAAGTTTACAGAAACTTTCCAGACAGCACTTACCATGCTGACTTTTCTGTGGAAGCTTCTGTTCCAGGCTGTGATTTACTAAGCATTAGTATTCTACTTCTGATTGCTCTCAGTAATCAAATCAACCCCACAGCTGGATTGAATTGTGTAAGCAGGAGGCCGAGTGAGGTACTTAAGCAGTGTGAGGATTGCAGCCATTGTCCTTGTGTTGTCCACGGTAATTGCGTTCTTCTTTTATTTGTCTTTCTCCGCTCACTGACTCCTTGTTTCTCCCCACCTTTCAGTCCATTCCTGCATGCCAAAGTGAGAGAAGTGCTGTCGGACTGTGCCCTGCCCATCTCAGTGCTGCTCTTCTCCTTCATCGGATCTTACCTGTTCAGTGACATTGAACGTTAGTATCCTCTCTTCCCTTAGCGAGTATTTAGTAGTAGAAGCTGTGTTTGGCTTCTATTTAACATCATTGTTACTTTTATTATGGCACCATGCCCAAACTGAATGTTTATAATGGTCTGAGTGAAGCAGTGGTAAGCCTGAAACCTAAATCAAACAAATGTATGTCCACTCAGTCTCAGTACTCTGACTTTAGTGGTGGAAAGGATCCCACTGTGTTTGACTCCACTACACTAACATTCATGCGGCCAAGCGAAGTCAAAACTCCAATACTGATTGGTATCCTCTCACATCTGCAGCTTCAGCTTGCTTCTCTGTGAAATTAATCTGATTCAGTGACTAAAGGGGACTTTTTTAATCTCATGATAAATGCTGAGTACTCGGTTGTTGGAGAAACTGCTAGACAGCACATTTGACAGTTAGGCAGCTGTGTGTTACGACTGGCCTGCTTAGTGTTTCAGTATTAATACCTACTGTGGGCTGCAGCGCTGTAGATCTGATGGCTCAGTACAACATAATTACTTTTGTAAGTAGTTATTTCTAACAGGCCTTATTTATGGACCCTGCAGGGTATCTTGTTGTTACGCACCTGGGGAGTTGTTCAGACATTAATGCGGCTAAAATGGCTGCGTGCACCCCCCCCCCACACACACACACACACACACATTTTACATCAAAACAACCACTTCTGCCGTGGGAGGTGTGCCATCACTTTTATAAGTGATTCGATTACATGGCAAAATTATTAGCAAAAAAATATTGAACGATTTTTCATTTGTGCATGACAGGGTAGTTAAAACTCACGTGTACTTAGTGTGCAGCCGAATTACTCTTCTTCACAAGAGGAAATGATCTCTCGACTAGGAGCGTGCATCCCCATATGATTGACACATGAAAGATGAATGAATGATACACCAAAAGGACCAGCTTATCTGTGGGAAGTGTGGTCTGTCACTATTTCGGGGTAATCATTTCAACGTGACCCAAATATCATGATTTTAGGTTTATTTTTGGTACACTTGCTCACAGTTGTTGAAGGAACTGGGCTGGTAGGTTGTTCCAAACATGTTGGAGAACTAACCACAGATCTTCTGTGAAGGAAGGCTTCCTCACATCCTTCCGTCTCATCATGTAATCCCAGATGTACTCCATGATGTTGAGATCAGGCCTCTGTGAGGGCCAAACCCTCACTACCAAGACTTTCTGTTTTTCTTTACACTGATGATAGTTCTGAATTACTTTGGCTGGATGTTTGGCGTCGTCACTCACCTTGCATTTTGGAAAATAATTCAAAAAAACAATCTTTTTTTTAAAGCATTCTTTTTTTATCAGCGCTTTTGTCACACCAGCTTTAAACTTTTGCACAGTACTATAAATTAAGCCTTCCCCTTACTAATAATTATTTCTGCTTTGGTTTAGAGCAAGTGATGTAATGCTTCATACAGTGTAACTTTATTATATTTATTTGTATTTTTCTTTCACAAAAACTGCAGAAATTTGTAAGATTACTTTTGTATTCAAGGGATATGAGGACAACCAAACTGTCTAAACACCTAAAATTGTAACCTGTTTACACCTAAAACAGCCTTTTCTCATTTTGTTATTGTTTTTTTTTTTTTTAGATTTCCTAATCAAGACACTGAGCTGACCACACCAGGGATTTTCAGTTTTTTTCTCCATTGTTTGGCATTGTTTTTGTCTCTACTGTTACCAAGGCTGCAGCTGATCTCCAGGGATCAAACCCTGAGTGAATTTCTATTTACGGGCCCAGAAAATTTTCTGTTCCTTTACCTCCAGAGAGGAGAAGCCAGACTAGTAAATGCTTCATTGTGTTGTTAGATTCTAAATATGAGATTTTTGAGTAATTTTTAGAGGTAGTTGACATAATTCAGTACTTTATTAGGGATGTACCCTGCACGTTTTCAATTAAACTTTCAAAAATATTTTTAAATATTAAACATTGTTACACACAAGTCATCAGAAATTCTGAAGGATGTATGAAGATGTTTTCAGTCAGATGGAAATATTTAAATTATTCCCAAAAACCTACATATTTCTGCCATTACTTAGTCAGCTGATGTTGTTTCTGTGATCTTCCTTTGAAACAGTTCCAGTATTTAAAGTTCATGACCGTCCCATCTTCAACGTGGCTCCCTTTGAGCGTCTGTCAGCCATGAATGTTGTCAGTGCCATGGGACTTGGTTTTCTCCTAGCTCTCCTCATCTTCATCGACCAGAATATTGTTGTTTCTCTGACCAACGCATCCGAGAACAGGTACAGGTTTTTATCCCGAGCACCTACATGTAGCCTCATCCTTCCCTGTGCTTTATGTTTGTTTTAAAGGGTAACAATGGAAACTTTCGATAACCCATGTAGCTTTATCTTGTCTCTGATCTACATCTGATCGGGGGGGTCCTTAGGGTTAGGGTCTGATAGTTTGGGTCTTTAATGGTACAAGTACAAAATGAATCCACAACTGAGTGGCCTCAACCAGATTCAAGATGGCGCCCACCACAGCTAATCATTGTTGGCAAACACAAAGACAGAGCCGCCAACTCTCACGCACGGAGCTCGAGACACACGCATCTGACCCTCTTCACACACTCTCACGCCACACCTCCAGTCTCTCACGCTAAACCAGCGCCTTCGCTCCCCAAACGCGCATCACGCACAGTGTGTAGGGCTTATGAAGAAACCAGATGATATTAATTATAACATTAGCTACTGAACAACAAGCACACAAACAACACTTACGTAATACTTTAACTGGCGTTAATTCACACACAGAATCCCATCTGTATAATCCAAGCCGATGTGCTTTTCTCCACTCTGGTGGTGAGATGGGCGGAGCGGTGAGCTCCACCTGCTGTTGATAGGACGGGCATGCCCGGTTCTCCCAGAACCGTGAGCTGCGGCTGTGCGCGCCGCCATAATGACATGCTATATTTAGAAATGCAGCCGCGTCGCCAGCCGGTCTTGACGGAGTTTCAGTCCTGAATGTTTTTCTTTTGTTTTCACTCATCAGCCACAGATCGCTACTCTCGCTCACAGCATGCTGGGCTTCCTACCGTGGTGACTCACTTAAACGTTCCCTCTCCTACATTAACTGGTGATGTGGTGAATTACCGCTTCACCCGTGTGTTTTTCCTGTTTGTGAGATGAACCCTCCTCCATAACCAGGTTACTGGTATGGAAGCCTGGAAAGGCCAAAATTCCTCAAATGTTTTTCTTCCTGAATAGAATAGAATAGAATAGAGTAGATTGTATTAGTCCTACTGGGGACATCCACTCATTACAGCAGCACACACACTTAGAGACACAAATTACAGTAAAACTGAGTCCAGCCATGTTTGCTTTGATAACTCCAGTAACTTCATGCTGATGAACACATGAACATAATCCTGTTTAGTGGATGCAATTACATCATGAAGTTAGCTTAACATGATAGATTATTTATCTTGGCAGGAAATAATAACTGGTAATATTATGAATGACATGATATTGCCCACCCCTAGATGGAATTTTAATACATTTACATTAATTATAATTAAAAGCTCCATTTGTGACATGTAGCTGTAACTCTTTACTGCTGATAGATAGATAGATAGATAGATAGATAGATAGATAGATAGATAGATAGATAGATAGATAGATAGATAGATAGATAGATAGATAGATAGATAGATAGAGAGATAGATAGATAGAGAGAGAGAGAGAGACGGACGGACGGACGGACGGACAGACAGACAGACAGACAGATAGAAGAAGTTCAGGAGAGTTTGATGTTAAATTTTCCTCACGAAAAGAAAATTTATATTAAACAAAGGTCAGTTCCCTCTGTAAAGTCAGAGGTACGAAAGAGGAATAGGGCCACTGAAAAGAAAAGAAAGAGAATTCTGACTTTTTTCCCAGAATTCCCTGCCACAGTTCTGAGGTTAAAAGCAAGAATTCTCTTTCTTTTCTTTTTTCCTTGAAAAAGTAGAAATAAATAAATAAAGTCAATATTAATCCCCCCCCCCCCCCCCCCCCCCCCCCCCCGCATCTGAGCAACCATTAAGTCCTGCTTTCTTAAACTCCACTGCTTAACAAGCCTGAAACACTTTCTCAAAAGACCTTACTTGCAATCTGTCATTCATGCTTTCATTACTTCTAGATTAGATTAAACATATTATATCCTTTTCACTTTTAAAAAATCCTCTCAATTGCCTTCAGAAGGTGCCGAATGCCAGAGCATGATTTTTAAATAGCGTTAGATATTCTTTTACATAAAGCAAGCTCGAGCATTTTAAGATGCACCTAAACTAATTTAGAGACCTTAAACTCTGTTTGCCGGCTAGAGGTGTTCATTCACGAATGAGAGGAGACAATTTTTAAAACCGTAAGTACAAAAGTCAAAACCACGGTTTAAGGTGTGATACGTTTGACAGCCAATAGATGGTGCTGTTGGGTAAAAAATACCCCAGATTATAGCTTTAGTTTGAATTTTGTTGTTTTTATTTTTCTGTAGCTACACTACATCTTTTAGTACATTGTCTTTTTCTGTGTTTTATCTATTCAGCATTTTGCTCAGCTGCCATGCTGTAGTTAATGTGGTACAGTATGGTTTCTGTTGCACAAACATTCTAATGGAGAAACTAGAATCCCTGTTCAATTTTAGATCATTTCACTTCACAAAAAGCTTTACTGTAGATCTGACACTGCTGAACTGCAAGTTAAAAACACCAGAAGCAAGCATTTAAAAATAAAACCAGACTCAAATCCATCTATTTTCCTGGTCATTAAGACACATATGCAAAATTTATTTGTCATCAAAATGTATAAAAATACATTTGAACATACAAAATAACAACTGCTCATTACTTGTATCCATATGATCCACATTAGACTGGGGTTGGTTCGATGACCTTAATGATCGGGGTCCCAGACGCAGTCCTCCTCCAGGCTACTCCTCACCGTTAGGTGGAACCCAGGTGGTGTCAAACCCCTTTGAACTCCAGGTCTTCTGGAGAGGGTGATTCTGGTGATCGACGCAAATCACTTTCCCCATATTGACTTGAACTTCGATGACAGCCTTTTCATTATCAGGGTGATTAATGGGATACCGAGAAGCTTTCTGCAGGTCTCTGCTGATGCAGACCCCAGGACCAAGCATTCCATCTAAAGACTTGCGAAAACCTGAACCATTGACTCTTAGCAAGAGAGGCCCAAACTTCCCTCTCCCCAACCACTTGGACCAACTCCTCCCGGGGAATTCTAAGGCGCTCCCTGGCCAGCCGAGAGACATAGTTTGAATGTTCTTCATTAACCGTAACTGCTTCTTGGACTGTGCTCTTCTGGACTAAAATGTAACCCGTTTGTCCAGGTATTCACTGGAGCCACCACTCCATTATGGTGGTCACTGCCCTGAGTGCTCTGATAACCACATGCACTACAGTCTTTCTAGCTCTTCTCTGATGTTTCTACACTATCTAACGTCCTATACTTTCCTGATGTTTCCACAAATAAGAAAGAAGGACAATGCACAGGCCAGGAGATTTAATGAGTCACCAGAGTAAGACTGTCTCAGTAATGGAACAGATGAAAATCCTGTGTTCACATCTTTGCATAACATTGTGGGTATGGACTGTTTTCTGTAATTGTGATGTATGATGTTGTTGCATTGCTCCTCAGGTTGCTGAAGGGTACAGCATATCACTGGGACCTGATGCTCTCTGGGCTCATTAACATACTGATGTCGGTACTGGGGTTGCCCTGGATGCACGCCGCCTTCCCCCACTCCACCCTGCATGTGCGCCAGCTGGCTTTTGTAGAGCAGCGCGTAGAGGGGGGGCACCTCTATGAGACGTGAGTTGCTCTCTTGCCACCATCAGTCCTCATCAAAAGCGATGTGCTGACTGTAGTTTCTTTATTAGCATGCAGCTAACCATTTTCTCTGTAGGAAGAGCTGAGGGAGTTTTTAAAAGATGAGAGGATTAAGTTCATCATTTCATCCACAGCCATGCCAGATTATGGTTTGCATATCAGGATTACTAAAACATTCAAGTGTGATAAATAGAGCTTGGAGACAATCTTATGTAAGAGCAGGGATGTAATAAAAAATCAGTTTTAACTAAGACTAATTCTATTTTTTGTATTTATGATAGTTTGTCTTTAAAAATAAGAAAACAAAGAACATAAGCAGAATAACAATGTTTCAGGAAGAAAAACATTAGGCAGAGCCTGTTAGGCAGCTTACTGCAGGAGAGAAGTGATCTCCATATACCATATTTTCTGGACTATAAGCCGCTACTTTTTTCCCACACTTTGAACCATGCGGCTTATAATGAGGTGCGACTTTACTGAAGATGTTCCTTCACCTGCAGGGGGCGCTTTAGCAGAAAGTGAAACAGGTGGAAGTCAAAAGTGGAAATTGAAGAACGTGCTCATTTTAATTTAGCACATGCAAGCAGCCGGCACCACGAAGAATTTTTTTCAAATCCATACCCCCTCATCATGGTAACTACACGTATGAGTTCATATGATGCCGCATTTAAGTTGAAGGCCATCGATCTGGCAGTAAAGGAGGTAAACAGTGCTGCCGCAGGCAGTGGCGGCTCCAGAAATGTTTTTCTGCAGGTGCTATGAAGAAGCTAGTCTTTTTATTGAGAGTGCTATGAAGGAAGTGGTCATGCGTACCTATTGTTCTCTAAAACACCTTCAACACTAGCAGATACACATGCGTGCACAACACCTCAACAACACCTGAAACAATCATTAATATACATCATAAACATATGAACAATGGCTGACTTTTCCATAAAATCATAAACACACACAGCCACACAGAAAACCATCTATAGTGTTGCAAGGTTAGCTAACGTTAGTGTTAGCATTTCCAGCGGCTAAACCCTGGACTGCTGCGGCGGTTGAGGGTTGACTCTCTTCATCCAGATCCGTAGGTGTTTGTGGGTCTGAGATCACTTCTAAAGATTCATTCGTTTCTGACTGAACCCGTGGAAATGTGGGCAACAAAAACCGATCCATTTTACCGCTAGCTCTACCTTTCACTCGTTCACAGGTGGAAAATGAGGTCAAAGGTTAACATCAGTTTCCTGTTTTGGTTTAAGTTTTTACTATCTATATGATAATTTACTGATTGTTTTTGTTTTGTATGTTAAATATTGTCACATCCACACGTTAAATTAAAATTAAATAGTAAAAAAAAAAATCTAATATTTACTTGGGGTTGCAATGACTAATCCAGGGGTAGCTATAGCGCTCCCTAGCGCCCCCCTGGCACCGCCACTGGCCGCATGTAAGCTTGGCATGAATGAATCCACGGTTCGGCGCTGGAGACGGCAGCGGGAAGAACTCATTCAAGCCAGCTTCACCCCAGGATGATGACAGCGCAACACATTCTCACACCCAAGGCGTCAAAATATGACGCGTGTGACCAAGCCTCAATATATGACGATTCGGGCCGCACCAGCGTGTCAGGAGACGACAATCAGGGACAAACTGCTGATGCAGCGAGAGCGTTGGTATCCGACGCTGGTGCTGAGATGGACACTAGAACTACTTAACCTTCCCCTCATCCCAATCCTAACCTTAAGGTCACAGTTTATGGACCTTAAGGTTAGGATTGGGGTGAGGGGAAGGTTAAATAGTTGAATAATATCCGTGTGACCGCACGTGTCAAACAGTGACGCCAGCAGAGCCACGTGTCCCAGCGTGTCCCTGATCGGCGTCTCCTGATGCGCTGGGGCGTACCAAATCATCATATATTGAGGCTTGGTCACATGTGTCATATTTTGATGCCTTGGGTGTGAGAATGTGTTGGACAGCAACACGGACAGCGACACTGACATCGCCACAGAAAAGGTATGTGACGAAGCTCTTCTGAGGCTGTTCAACTCCGACACTGAAGAAGATGACTTCAGTGGTTTCAGTGCGCAGGAGGACAATGAATAAACTAATTAATAACTTTTCTGTTTTGTGTGATACTGATCAGTTCAGTTACGTTCAGTTAAACTATGTTTTCAATTCAGTAAATATCCGGTAGATATCTGCGGCTTTTAGCCCGGTGCGGCTTATATAAGTACAGTTCAATGTTTTTTAAAAACTTAGTAGGTGCAGCTTATATTGAGGTGTGCTCTGTAGTCCAGAAATTACGGTAAATTCAACCATTTCAGGAAGTGTCAAAGACGTCAGCATATCATAACTGCTTCGGCAGTGAGTGATGTCACTGAACAGTACCACAATGCATCCACAGACATTACTTAAGAATGATGCTGAAAGATTTTTCAGAATGAGCAAACTGTAAGACAGATCTCTTCTCTGAACATATTTTGTTCATTTGTTCTGTGCAGTCCATCAAATTCCATTGTTTGATTATTTTCTAAACACAGACTATTGGTTTGTTTTGACCTTCTTTAGCTGACAAGTTTTGGCTAACACTGTAGCCATTTTCAGAGCACCGCTAATGAGACCCTTGGGTTCAAACAACATAATAAAAATACATCAATTAGTGTCATTAGAGTTAATGTTAGTTCACAAATAATAGTTTTAGTTTTTAAAGCTGACATATCTAGAGATGTTACAACTAGTGATGGGAATTCTGGCTCTTTTTAGAGAGCCGGTTCTTTTGGCTCAGCTCACCAAAAAGAGCCGGCTCTTTCGGCTCCCAAGTGGCTCCTCAGATTTTCTGTTGCGTAGAGTACATTTATGACCAAAATAATGCGAAACTATATGTAAAATGATTTACTAATGTAAAAAAAGCAATATATCAAATATTTATCATTCTATGGATTTAATAACTGAACACTAAGAAATCTTCACTTTCCGACTACTGGCGCTAATTTTCTCACCGTCTTCATCACGCTCTCCTCCCTCTCACTCAGCTTTTTCCTCCTCCTCATTCCCTCTCGTCTCCCTCCTCCCACATGTGCTCTGCTGTGTGTCTGAGTCTGATCCTCCCTCTTCCCCGCCCCTACTGCTCTGTGTGTGGACAGTCTGGACACGCAGTTACACATGTTGACCAATCGCCTGTAGCTTTCACCAAGGCGGGGGGAGGGGAGGGGAGGGGACGGCTCCCAATGACGAGCCGGCTCCCGTCGTTCACTTCAAAGAGAGCCGGTTCGTTCGCGACCGACACATCACTAGTTACAACCACATTTTTGCCCCTGGTCCGAGTCCAAGTTGTTTGATTTTTGATTATCTTCCAATACTGAGTCCTGTTCTGATACCAGGTGGTGATGCGATGCATTATAAAAGAAGAAATAAGTCGTCCTTCTGTCTGTATTTGTCATTTTGTTGTTTTAGATTGTATTTGATTGTATTGTTAATGACTCGAATAAAAAAATAATTAAAGCTGCAAGCAGCGTCGTTCGGCCCTCGCAGCGAAGCTGCTCGCCCTCCTTCCGCACCCGTGTGTGTTGGCCAACGCGCACACGCAAGTTTGTCACTTGTGCACTCACAGACACAGTTTGCTCCCTCTCAGTGTACAAATGACCTCTCGCCATATATATTTTCACTCGAGAGGTTCTAACTTCCACGTGCGAGTCCCATTTGAGCCCGTGCATGCGGTTTTGGCACCCATCTGACACCATAGATATCCCTGTGGCCAAGTAGCCAGGGCGCATGATCGATCGGGATTCAGTGACAGGACGCTTACCCTGTCACACTAGCAGGAACCTCAACTCGTTCATAAACCCATTTCTTCTGTCCTTGGGTTACCAATAAGGCTATACCATCATATATGGGAGAGTCTGAGAGAAGATGCTATTGTAATATCCCAACAAGGGTTGCCTCACACTTGGATTAATCCCCAATTTGTTCCATATTTCTGAGTTGACTTGACATTTTGGGGTTATTGGGTAAGACATTGAAGATGTGACTCAATCAGAGGCAGAGGAAGGCAGATATGTTAGGAGGGAGCAGGAGAGCACTGACATATGAAACTTTAGTGACTTGCCTCAGGCCAGCAGCCTTTAGTTGGTCGGCAGAGGCAACAAAGCACATATTCATATGGCATCTTGTATCACAGCTAACAGCACATTTTCCTGTTGTAACCCTGAACAAAACAACCTTTCTCTGTGCAACACTCTACAGAAAAATTACGTGCCCAGTCGAATCCATTCTGATGCACTTTAACGTTGTTTCTGTTTTAAAAAGACAGGCTGTAGAGGTGCTCCCAGAAAAACATTCAGAGTGGGACACACATCAGCAGAATATACATCTCCTCAGGATGTAATTGCTTATCCAGATGGTAAATCAGCCCTCCGTCCTGTTAAACATGCTTTAGCATCTTGTGTGACCACGATGGCACAAACAGCTGGGTGTTACAAGTCGGCTGTTTCCAAAAAAATACAAATGAACATCAACTAGAAACATTGCAAGATCTCTGTTTTTTGCTTAGAATAAGAACATTATTCTTTTTTGTTTGTATTCGGTTTGTTGTTTTCTTAGCCGACTCAAACTCTTTAGTCATTTCACCAATTATACTTCATTGCTGCAGACAGAATTTGTTCATGTAGTTAGTTCAATGGTCGTGTTTTCTTTTAAAGGGATACTATGCAGTTTTGGCTTGCTTTTAGCACCCCTTAGTGTCACTTTACCCCAACAGGGATTAGACCAGAACTCTGAAGTTGGGGTCTGAGTAACATTTCATTAACCCTGAAAAGGGTCGATTTAGCACATGCTGGTTCAAGAAAATGATTTAAAAATATGAAAATGTTTCATTGCATGTCTTTAAAGAGCAAGTCACCCCTACCAGAGTCTAACTCCACTCTCACTTCATGTTTGAAAAATGCAACAAATGCTGTTGCCTGGCAGACCGAGAGGGCGGAGCCGCTAACAAATACACACACACAGGCTCACGACAGCATTGTGACATCATAATGTACCAGTTTACATCATAGCATACCTCTTAGCCAATAGCGGTGGCAGATTTAAATTAAAATACAGTGCAGAGTTTTTACCTGACAACGGCACAACACTGCCAGTTTTAGGCAGAATATTTAAATTTTAACTAAGATGCACTGAAGTGCCAAATTATTGATGACACGTGTCTGCAGCACAATTAGACACTCGTTTATTTAGTTTATCAGCGAAAAAAAGTTTATTTGGGGGTGACTTGCTCTTTAAAGACCAAGTTCACTGAAAAACAATTTGAAAATGATGAGTTACTCTGAGTTTAACATGCAGGCTGAATGTGCAAATAGAGCTACACCTATCTCCTGCATTAGCTTCTAATAGAAAATAGATAGAAAATGCATGGTTCAGAAAATCCTGACAGATCTAAGTCGCACTGTCATTTAACATTCATGGACTCATCTTGGCTCACGATGGCGAAGGCTGTTGTTCTTTTAGGGTCCAGGAAAAAGCAGAGAATGTCTTGGCTAGTAGAAGATAACTGTAAGCATGCAACTCCACCACATGAAAAAACTCCTTCAGACTTGTGTTATTTGTGGAGTTAAAACATCAACAGAGGAAATGGAACTAGTGGTAGAGTTGGTTTGTTGTTAGCTACGCTGAGGCAACTTGTCTAAATGTCAGGAAATAAAACTCAAATCTTGCCATTTGAAGCTATTTTCTCCTCCTGGCTAATTTAAACATCCTCAAACATGCGCATTGGAGCTTAAACAACTTACAAGTAGTGGTGTGCATCTCTACCTGCCTCACGATTCGATCCGATTCCGATTATCTGCCTAACGATTCGATTTGAGTCTGAAATGCATCATGATTCTTCACACAAAAATTTTCATTACTTAATAAAAGCAGTAGAATAGTTTTCAATTTCTTTTTGATTTCGAAATCCCTGAAAAACATAACAGTCATCTATTCACTATAGTGAGCAATAATTTTTAAAGTGTGCTCCCTATAATTACTTAAATAATTCAAGAAATAATGTTTTCGGTAGAGCAGCTTTAAGATTGAATATTACTGAACTTAAAAATAGTAAACAAATACTGTGTTGAGTGATTCTTTCACATCCAGGATCCCAAAACCGAAATTAGCCCAGACATCGGATTTAAATATAACGTGTCCATCTTTGATTACTGGTAATGTTGGCCCTGTATCCCTGTCCGCCTTTTCTGTTTTAAATTGGCACTAGGGCAACGCAGTGCGCATGTCATTGCAACTCTGCCCCAGAAGTAATTATAAAGACTTTATTATCCTGCATAGACATAGACCAGGGGTCGGCAACCTGTTCCCATCAAAGAGCCATTATTACCCGTTTCCCACAGTAAAGAAAACACCGCAGCAGCCGCGGCGTTGTGGGCGGGGCCTACCCTCAGACAGCAGCCGGTACCGGTCAGTCGCTCGTGTACGTCAAAGTTATCTTTCATAAGACGATAATCAATAAAACGATTTATATAAAGTGGATCCAGAAGTTGTAGCCCGTCTCTGCCTACATTATTTAGATATTTTTCACCCTGTTGGTGGTTTTACTGAGCAGGTGCCACTTTTGTCATACGTTTCTTTTTAAAACATGTTTAGACTGTTCAGAATACAAATCCAGGCTCTGTCACGTTTGATTGTTGTAATTAAACTTTGTAGGTGGGGAAGGTCAGAAAAGGATCCGATCATTTTGTTTTTCCCTCATTTACAGCAACGGAGATAATGGCGCAGTGCACCTGGCTCTGGTGTTAATCAAGTTTAATTTAACTATTTTCACAAGAAAACAGAACAGTTAAAAGCAGGGCTTGTGTTGACCGGATAGTTCCCGTATTTGACCGTTTATTTTGGCGGAGAAAGAACAGAAAGAAGTACCCCGACGCATGCAGACGAACTGACATTTTATTCGTTTCGCACATCGCAGATGTAGCTAAATCACTTAAGAAATTATTTCCATCTGAGCTGGACACGGAGCTCAGCGCAACTCGCTGTCAGCGCGTACGTACGGCGCACAGCGAGCTGAAGAAGTGGAGAGGGGCTTGGAGCACGTCGCAGAACCAGGGCGCATGCAGGACGATTCCTCCGACTGAAGCGAGACTTGTCACTTAGAAAATGTTCCCTGATTATGAAACTTTGGCTGAATAGTGCTTGTTCCTGTCTCCAATGTGGCGACACATCCAGGAGCCGTCTGAGGAGAAGCCCAGAATCTCACATCCTCGTCAGCTCAGAACACGCATATGATTACGCACAAGCGTGACGCGTCTACCCGGTCTCACAGTAAGACCGGGTTGGAATTGTTCAGGTTTACGCAGACAATCTTTACATTTAGAATTGGCATACAGATGTAAAATTAATGCAGTAAAATATAAAGCATTTTATTTAGATATCCATTCATTATTTTACAAGCACAGAGAGCCGCATCAGATGGATGGAAGAGCCGCATGCGGCTCCAGAGCCGCGGTTGCCGACCCCCGACATAGACATAGGGAGCGAATCTCATTATGTCACGTTGCTGCATCGATGCGGAATCATACACGGCTGAATCGCGATGCATCTTAAAATCGATCATTTTTCCCACCTCTACTTACAAGGCATTAATTTCTACTAGATACCACTGCAAGATAATTATTAGTAAAGCTGACCATTAAATCAGTCCAGCAAGTTGTTTAATGTCAGTCTGTCAAGCCATCCTCTGTATATATATATACTGTAGTCTGGCCAAGACCAATAGATAGAGCTCGGTCATGGGGCGCTGTCAAACTGTCTCCACATAGTATTGGACAATGAACAATGTGACATACTCACTGCTATGGATGTTAGTCAACGGGGCAGTCCTCCATACACTGTTGAAGAAAACACAAATATGTCCTTTCTCTAAGTCAGGGGTCTGCAATCCATGGCTCTGTAGCCACATGCGGCTCTTTCATCCATCTGATGCGGCTCTCTGCTTGGAAAATAATTAAAGGGACTTTACAGAGTTTTTAATTTTTATGCTTGCGATTGCCCCCTCAGGCCAAAAGCGTAATGGCAGCTTCAATAGTAGGCTCGTGCACGAGGTGCGCATGCTGTACGTGCACACTCCTTAATGAAAACAACAGCTGAGATAGTCCCTTGTGTGTGTGTGTGTGTGTGTGTGTGTGTGTGTGTGTGTGTGTGTGTGTGTGTGTGTGTGTGTGTGTGTGTGTGTGTGTGTGTGTGCGTGTGTGCGTGTGTGCATGTGTGCGTGTGTGTGTGTGGGTGTGGCCCGGAGGACAGAGGACAGAAGAACACGCAGCTAATTAATTAAATAATTTGGTTCTGTACCTTTCTCTTCAGCACAGCCGACAAAGGTTTATGATGGGTCAGTCCTCCTGCATGCTCAGATCCCTTGCTTGAAAAATAGTTCCAAAATGAAAGTTGAACCCACATCTTTTTTATCTGTGAATTCAATGCTGTTCGGCGAGTCTCAAATAAAAATTTGGGCACCTTACTGTAAAAAAATATACCATTAATGTAAAAAAGACTCCAAATTAACTATGTTCTTTCTCAGCCTTCAGAGAGTACAGACGCTTTTTTTCTCAGCTCCCTTATCGGCTTCCCTAAGGCTCTTGTCCTGTCTGCCTACAGAGCACTTCTCTGCATTTCTCCTGAAACCACTACTCTTTTTTGGAAATATGGACTTCATTAACTGGTCATTCAACGTGATTGAGAAAATTTTCTCTACGATGATAACGGAGAAGGGGGCTCCCACCTGTCCCGAGGGGACATTCGCATCGGGATATGCACTCGATTCTTGGGAGGTCTGGCGAATCGTGTGCCTCTCTCAGCTGTCCATCAAGGACGTGGAAGATTTGTGGATATTCGGCCTGATGATCACTGGATTTCTTCTGATTGGAGTGGGAGGATATCTGGTTTTCTGGAAATTTGGGAAGACGGGAGCGATTGGAGTGTGACCCGTACCCACGGAATGCGCCGCTCGGGCGGTGACCTCACAGACTGGGACGTTACTCGAGGTGAACCGTAAGCTGGACAATGTCCTCGCGGCGTTGCCTGTGTTAGTGTGCAAGATGGATTTGATCTCGGAGAGGGTCGCCGGACGATGCGGGGATGTGGAATGTAAAATTGGCTTCACTGGTGGACATGAATGACCACTTAAAGACTCCAAGGCGGAGAGGAAGATTATCTCTGCCTGCCCTAAACAAAGTCATGTTTATCCTTATCTGACGCCATAGCAGCCTCTCAAGGCTGCCTCAACACACCCCCACAAAAGGAGGAATGCCGACAGATGCTGTGTCCTGACCTTCACCCTCTCCCTTCAGGCTGACATGTCTGCAGGAACTTCAATGTGCTCTCTGGTCCTTATCTCTCCCTCCCACCTGTTGGTCTGCAGCTGGTCGATGCGCCACAGTGGCAGCTCCCATTGGAGGCTTCAGGATCCCGCCCATCCCCACCTCCCCATCGGACTCTGATGTTTGTATCTGTGCTGTTTTGTGCTTCCATGTTGAAAGGAGTTTTTTTTTTTTTGTATAATAGAGTTACTCCCCGCTGGGGCTAACTCTGCTATGCCTTTTTTTTACCTACCCCCACTTATCCTCATGTAACACCCTTTTCATCTATCTATTAAGGTAGCGCGACTCATGTTGCGAATGACTGCAGTCACCAATTCTTGTTATGTGTCTTACCCACGTATGTCTGATCTTTGAATTGTGTGTGCTGAAACTGAATTTCATTTCTCTGCATGTCCTGCACATGTGGTAGAAGATGACAATAAATGACTTTGACTTTTGACTTTGAAATTCGAACCCAGGTCTTCTGCACAGGAGTCCAATGTTTTACTAGGTGAGCTAAAGCGCCAGTGACGTCTTTTGCATCTGTAACATTTATATCCTTCATGACAGCTGAAACAACGTTCAAAGAACGGTTTGGAGTGAAAATGGCTATTTTGTTGCTAATTTGCAGGAAATATCTAGAAGAAAGTTCTACAGAAAGTAGCTAAGGGTCCTCAGAAATGTAGCTAGCTTTGTCACTAGGCGTTAGGAACAGCGACAAAGTGGCACTACCTCTCTCTCTGCTGCTAGCAAATGCTACGGGCTAAGCCTGAGCGTGAACGCGCATGAAGCAGCCTGCTCGACTCGAGCATCTCTCTTTTTCTGTGATTTTACAGAAAAACAGGCAATCACAGTAAAAATGCCAGGGCTCATTCTACAGGACCAGGGCATTGCAGGAGAATGTATGAAGAAGACATTTATTATTTCTAGACATGTTTTGGCTGTCAAACTTCCATAATGCCCCTTTAATGAATATTTACTTAAAATATATTTTATTTTACTGCATTCATTTTTTATCTGTATGCCAAGTCTAAATTTAAAGCTTGTCTACGTAAACCTGAGCAGGCCCAACGGTCTACAGGCAGGGGCACCGTAAAGCAGTGAAAAATTAGGAAGATTCTAAGGGCCCACAGCTGTCAGGGGCCCAAAAAAGTTTCAAAGTTGAATAAAAAAAATAAATTTAAAAAATCACAAGTACTTTACTTTGCAGTATTTTTTCTCATTTAAGACATTAAACAAACAATCTTTAAGTCTTTATTTATTCAGAGGTCCCTACTTTATTTTGACTAATTAATTTGACCGCCCGCCCCACTCCCCCACTCCTAATGGCATAAAATGGTACAGTCCACCTGGCCGAGGGGCGTGTAGCAGGCGAGGCCAGCTCACGCAGCAGTCAGACAGCAGAGTGCGCCAAGGCTGCAGTAAAAATGTCTGCAAAAGCAAAGTCTGGGTCGAAGAAAGAAAGGAGAAAGAGGACAGGCACAAGAGAGGGCGTCAGTATGTCACACAGTTTTTCTCAAAGAAAGGTGGGTTTAGTTAGTGAGTGGTTAAATTCAACCTGTTTGCTAGCTCTGATATCCACAGTGAGAGGAACTATGTTTCATCTAATTATGGTAAATGGGTTGTTGTCCTTGTCCCTACCAGAATCAGCAGCTGATGATATGTCAGCAGGTGTCCCCTCACAACCCAATGAACCTCAAGAAGGTGTGCAATGTAGCATGCTAGCTAGCAGCCTCATTTAAAGGCACGGTCCATAAGATGACACCGTCAGTGAGGAGGAGGAGATTTTTAAATTCGAACGGCTGTTGCTCACTCCCCCGCCCTTCCTGAAAGAGCCGAAAGCCACACCTCCTAATGTGCACGCACAGGAAAAGCTGAGTCAACATCGGAGCAGCATTGCTTCTTCATAATAGAGCTGAGGTAGTGTTAGCAATGGAGTTATCTGAGGTAAGAAAGTTGTTTTTAACCAGCACATTAAACACTTATTGTTTACAAAAGGCATTTTATAAAGAATATCTATAAATATATTTATATTTTAAAATACCAGTAACAGTTGACAATGTATATTGTAAATAAAATTAATCCTATCAAATTGTTAGCATTTTATTACGAGTAATTAGCTTATTTTTAATTGCTTTGCCATTCAAGATGGGATGAATATATCAAAGCATATAATTTATGTGGAAATCATGAATAAACACTGCATTCTGTGTAGTCCTCCTATAATCATGGTTGTTTTCATAGTTTGTGTTTATTGTTGGTTTAGCCCAAATTTGGACTAGATGCAAACCTGATCTGTGTCAAAATTGATTAATATGCAAGAGTACTTTTTATATTAGTATAATTATTTAAAAATTCTAATACAATTTAGAGTTCAGTGATTGAGGAATCCTCTGAGGAAGTTTGAACCTTCTATTGCATCCTCAAGACGTGGTGCAAAAAGGAGATGCCCACCATCATCTCAAAGCCGTGGTGCATCCAGAGGCCGTGGTGCATCCAGAGGCCGAAGAAGTGCGAGACACTCAGCTGTGGACCTTGGAGATGAAGATATCCCTCGAGTTCAGAATCTTCATTCCGAGCTAATAGACTTTGAACGTGTAAGCATAACAAAATTACACTAAATGATCCTAAAAACTGTTGCTGTAGCATCTCTTTCCACGTTTGTAGCAACACATACAGAACCTGAACCCTCAGCAGGCTATTGACGTCCTTACCATGGTGCTGGACAGAGACCCTGGTGTTCTCTTTGACGTACTTGCCCTCTCTGGTCCACCTGGCACAACACCTCCAACATCCAATAAACCTTCATGGTGTGTATGCTCCCACTGCAGAGATGCCAACTGATTTGGAAAGGAAATGCTGCCAACAGCCTCCCCAGACATTTATTTCAACTGTCCCACACATGGAGGAGTTTATTCTGCAAAATGGTGTTCTTCGCCTGGCCAGAACATTGTGGAATGAGTTTCGAGCGGTTTATGATGACCCGGACCCTGGTGAGGACAACAGACAGTTCCGCCATGCAGCTTACAGACAATTTGTAGCATGGCAGCATGGAAAACTTGGTGGAGGTCGCAGGGTAGTAATCCCAAGCTGTGGTCTGGAGGATAAGGGAAAAATTCCCTGACCCCACTGGTTTTATTCCAAGGTGATTGTAAATAAATGTATATATTTGATATTTTACATACATTTGTTTTTTTATATATTTTTGTTTGATGCTCTAATAAAGTGTTCTAAAGCATAACCCTGTGTTGCATTTGTAAAAATACCATAAATGTTAAACTCCTGCACAACAACAAAAACTTATGTCTACCTCCAGCATTTTACATACATTTTTAAATTATTAGTCCTTATTTCCCAAAAAAAATATCTTTATTTTCAAAAAAAAAGAAAAAAAAACAGGAAACACAAAAATAAAGAAGGTTTTGGGTTTTCTCTTGCCTCCCCCAACACCTATGTCTTTGGTAAAGTTTTACCTGTAAATAAAAAATAAACTCAATAAGCAATGGACTGTTGTGTGGAAGATGTAAGGCACATAATGTTTTATTTTACCATCACCATGAGTCCGTAGGTGTTGTAGAAGTTCCTCTGTTGATGGTGCAGGGACTCCGGACAGCAAACCATAACGCCTTGGATCCTCAGGCCTTAGCTTGTAGCGTCGAGGAAGACCTTTCTTGCTTGTCAAACGTTGGTTGACGATCATGGTTTGGATCTCTGGGATGTAGGAGAAGTCTTTTGCCACCTTCTCAGAATACAGCCTCCAGCATCTAGATTTTTTGTTGAATATTTTATGGTATCTGAAATGACACATGCCATAACTTGTAGTATCCAACAAATTAGCTGAAAAAGTTTTAAATTAAATGAAAGGAATTACCTTATGTGTATTTAAGGTGTGTAGTCCTCATCACCGCCATCATCAGTACCGCTGTCCATCTAGATGGTTTTGTCCTCCTCTGAAGACAAATCAACTTCTGGTTCTCTGGTGGCCATGTGTCATCTGATGACTCTATCCTGAATACACACAAAAAAGTTTTTAGTATGGAAAATTAGACACATTTTATTAACATCTGAATACTTACACAGAGTTTTGAATATTGTTGTACTCTTCCTCGTTAATGTTTTCTTCAATTCCCACAAAAGCTAACCTACTAAAGTAATTATTGTTTACTTTTCCTGACAAATGTGACAGCCGTATACAGATACAACCTTGTACTTACATTTGTGAAGATCCTTCTTTTTTAGTTTCACCTTGTTCCATCACCTCCTCCAAATTATCATCCCTATGAAAATAAAATACAAGCACAAGAATATGATTAGAATCAATACATTATTTGTCATTTTGAAGGTAACAGACCTCGTCTATTGGCCGCCATCATCACCCTCTTCTTATTTTTCTCCCTCTACTTATTACGCATTTCTCTGTATCCACTGAATTCCTTCTTTACTAATAATTTCCTGTCTCTTTCTTTACATTTTAAAAACACAATTGTGTAATTTTTCTCATAAACTTTGTTTAAAATAAAAATATAAATTTTTATTTTAATATTTTTAATTTTGTTGTTGTGAAGCGCCTCAAGAGTTTTATCTTGAGAGGCGCTATATAAAATATATTTTTACTTATTTATTTATTTCTATACATTTTTTATAGTCATTCATTATCCCATTTCCAGAATTTCTTCAAAATAATCCACCACTAACTTAAAACAAACAGAGGCAAAATTATAATATTCCTGGTAGAGGTTTTTACGCAGCTATTTCCCTTTCAGATGACTCTCCATGAATGCTAGACAGAGCTGGCACTGGTGTTGGAGAAATAAACAATTGGCGTTTCAATAGTGTAGATGTTGATGCTTCATATTTGGACTGATGACTGTAAAAAACAAAGCCCATATTAAAATAAAAAGTAGTGATCACAGGCTAAACAAGTAAAAGAAACACACAATATTATGTTATATAGCCATCTCTTAGTTTACACATCTATGTTATTCTAAGTGTTGGTCTTTCTTCTGTTAGACCAAGCACGGGTACGGAGAAGATGGAGTTAAACACCTTTTGAGTTGGCAGAATGTGGAGACAAATGATCAGAAGTCCAGTCACTGTTTTCACCGCTCATGAGGGGGAGAGCCTTTGCAACATACAGCAGGTCCCGCGACCTGCTCCCGTCAGTTGCTTCGGACAGACTCTCGCCGTTCTGCTGAAACGGCTGATTTTTATTGAAGAGTACAGGAATGTAACATACGCAGTTTGCCATACACACACGTGATTCTGCCATCTGCACCTGTAGACGCACGTCAGCTGATAGCCTTGTTAATGAAAGACCAATTCATCCCAAGGACATGCAACCTTGAGATGACCAGGACACATCCTGCAACATCCTTTGCTAACAAAGACAGTTGTTCTTGTATTGAGGAACTGAAGGAAGGAACACTTTCACTCCCTTTTTTGTGCAGGGGAAAACATGCCGCTGTTCAGCTTGAGCAGAAAAGGCACAGAGAGGTTTTCGATATTATAACAAGATTCCAAGAAAAGGCATATAATAATGTATTCATGATAATATATAAGGGGCATAAGTGAGAGATACATATTTGTTCATATAAAAGAGCTTATACTAATATAAAAGAGCTCATATGAGAATATATTTTCAATCCCCCTTTTGAACTCTTTTAAGAGTTCAACAAAGATGTAGGAAATCAAAACAACAACACCAAATATCATCAAAATGAATCTAATAAGCAAAGTTTTAAAATACAAATACAAACAATCAATCAGATTACATTTTCTCATATTTCTAGCAGTAAACTAATACAAAAAACATGATCATATATTTAACTGAACATGTTACAACATGAATGGATCGCATGCTCACCGTATGAGGGCGAAAAACCCTAATTATCGTACGTCAAATAGGGAAAATTCCCCCATGTCCCCCCATTTTGGGGCGAACGCCTTTTGGCACAGAGTGGGCATGCCTAGGACATCAATGATCAAAAAATAAAAACAACACAATCAAAAAACTCATAGAAATGAACAGGTGAAGGGATTGTTACATAAATCACTGAACATTCTCACACTCTAACATCATCTTCTTCATCATGAGAGTCATCACTATCATCAGAGGGTTCCCCTCCCAAATAGATGTTAGGATTGGCTAGTAACAAGGGCATCTGGATAATTGGGTCAGCAGGTGGAGGAGAGATGGCAATGGTAATCAATCTGTACATTCAGAATTGAGTTTGGAAATGCAATGAGTGTAAACATATATCTAATACTAAACAGGTAAATGAATAATAATATAAAATGAGTAGTGGGTATAAAATATAACCCTTGTAAAATAAATGAGGGTGTTAAATAGAACCCTTGTAGAATGTTCATAGGGTGGTTACTTCTTCCCCCTGTTGAGGTCCTTTCACTGGCTCCAGGCAGCTGCAGGGGGTGATGATGTCACGATTCTCGTCCTGCAGGATGTGGTGGCAGCTTGGCATGCTACCTCGTCCCGCAGAATTGGTAGCTTGGCACGCTACTGTAGTCAGCTACTTCTCTTCCTGGTTTTTGGATCCTTTCTCTGGTTAGGCAGATGTCAGCTGCTTCTCGTCCTGGTCCTTGGGTACTTCTCCTGGTCAGGCAGATGTCGGCTGCTTCTCTTCCAGGTTAGGCTCCTCCCTTTGTGACAGGTTCTCTTGAACCTCAATCAGGGTGCGGTGTGGCTCTTCCGCTGCAGCACACTGGGTCCAGTGGTACCAGGAGTCTCCTTTACCGTCCAGCCGGACAGCGTGTGACGTCCTCTCCGTGATCCTGTATGGCCCGGTCCACCTTGGTTCCGTCCACTTTCTTTTGGTGACCTTCAGCAGGACCCAGACGCCTGGCACCGAAGGCGAAGTATCTTCGTGTGTGTGGTTTTGGTCCAATGAAGGCTTTCTCGGCTTGTGCAGTCCAATTGATCTCGGCAGATAGTTGGTAGGAAGATTCACACTCCGGCCGGACCAGAAGTTCCCCGAACCGATCGCCTAGGGATTAAAGGTTATGCACAAAAATGTCCTAGCTCTTACTGACCCTAGCCTCTGATACCTTCAACATCAGACACATACAGTTACAAACAGCAAGCGCAATTAAAGGTACAGTGACATCCCGACATGGACACACACAGACACACAAACACATACACATGCACATACACAGAGAGAGAGGGAGAGAGTAAGAATGTGTGTGGGAGAAAGAAATGAGTGGGATCCACTTTGCCACCAGCATCTCCACCTGTGTCACAGAGAAAAAATGACAAAGAAATTAAAACATAAAGCAAACAACAATAATTCAATGAGTATAAATGATCAAACTAAAATATACAACCATGCATGGGTTTTATAACAGTTCCGGCAACACTGGAGAGGAAGCCTTGTACAATGAATTCTTAAGATGTCCTTCATCAATTAGAGGTTATAGCCAAATTGTTTCAGGATCCTGAAGTTGAATTGGTCAATTTACTCAGAATAGCCCAATGGCTTTGTTGATGTTTCTCAAGGCTCAGCCACGCCCATATAGATAAATAAACAAACAAACAAGACAAACACAGTCAAACACACGGTCCATACACGTCTCTGTGCCCTCACACACCAAGCAAATGTCAGACTGAAGCGAAAGTGTGAAAACACTTAACCTAACGCTAAATCAGTGGAAAGAAAAAAAATAAGACCTAAAGCGTGTAATCAAATTAATCCAACAAAACTTCCCATAACTGCCGTTCTAAACTAACGTTGCGATGTGATCTCTTCAATTAGAAATTAGGACAACCACTTTACTATCAATTCCACAAAATAGTTTCAGGTTGTCCCTTACCACCTGTCTTTCATACCTTCTTTCTTTATTTTTTTTTTAGAACCTTACTAGCACAAGAAATCCTAAGAATTAATTCACTACTTAAGGTTAATTTGTAAATAACGAGACTGCAGTTACGAGACTGCAGTTACAGGTTTGTTTGTGCATAGTATTGGTAATCAGCAGTTTTTCCTTATCTCCTCATCTAGAAGTGTGTTTCTGTGCTACTCCTCCATCTATAACACAAATTAGTATCATCCTTAAAGCGTCTGAAATTAAGCTGCATTGCTAAATCAATAACGTGATTTGTGCTAAGAAATACTCCCCTATCCTCTTCCTTTTTCCAGTGGCACTGAATGACAGATTTTAGATCAATTTAACGTTTTATTACTATTACGTTTCATTTAATTAATTTTGCTTTTTCTCTCTTATTTTTATCTATTTATTTATTTATGTTATTTACTTATTTATCATGCCATCCTGTGATGATAATCTTAAAGACTTTTTAGCCAATTGTCGTCAAAAAGGCCAATTAAAAATATTATGTTAAAGATTTCACAGGATAAAAATGTGAACATAATTTTTATCGAATGAGGGGTACCATTTATTCAATATTTTTGTAACATTATTTTCTACGTTAGAACTTACAGCTGATAGAAAAATATAGGATCAGCTAGGTTTGGCTAGATCTGTTGGGAAACTCAACGGAGCTGAAACAACACTGTTGTCTCGGATGAGATGTTCCATAAATCATTTAGTCAGCTGAATGCCAAATTATTCATTTAATGTTTATTTTTATGCAATGAATGGAATGGGATGGAACGTTACTATAAACTGTCCGGAAATTTGCGCATGTTTGCTCGAAGGAGAGAACTGTTGAAGCCTAAAGCGTTCTCCTAGACTTATAAATAGACACCGTTTCCTTAACCAATGAAAATAAGTGATAACGCTGATGTATTCCGTTTTGAAAAGAAAATAAGGCTTTACTGCATGTCCGCTGCAGCTGAGAATCCTAAAACAATAAAGATTATATTGACGTCCAATGGTGAGTTGGGCTGAAATCCAGGTTACTAATCCTATTATTTATTTATTTATTGTTATTATTATTATCTCTTTTTTTTTTTAGGCTAACTTTCTCAGTTAACTATGTTCTACAGTAGTTTAGTAAATTTTCCACAGTTCTGACATTTCATCAATTCAACTGGTTGTTGCCAAAAAGCCTTGTTCATTACCTGACTGCAGCAAGCACTCTTTTACTGGGTGTAACCATAGGAAACAGTCTCTTTTGAGCCTCTCTTTGTAAGTCCAGGATGACCACCGTCATTGATCAAAGTTCACATGTTAGCACACATGCTCCCCCTTTTGTACTTTGTTTCATCAGCAGCAGGGCAAATAAGTTTCTGCCTCTTTGTCCATCTTGTAGTGCTCCCCGTCTTGATGTTATAATTCACAGTTTTTGGTGAGGGCTTCC